AATCTCAGAATTTTGTTCGAGTTTTGCCAATATTCGGGACCTTATGTCCTTATCTTTGCTAGAAGTCAAGCCTTGAACGAATATCAAACATTTAAATCGATCAATTGAAAGATCATGTAACATAAAACGTTCACACATTCTGTTAACATTTCCAGCATACGTAACAATATCCTCATCATCACGCTTAACCATATTCAAACATGAGAAACGAGTATGAAACAAACTAACTCGCTCACCAAAAATACTAGATAAAGTATTAACAGTTTCTTCGAAAGAAATGTCAGCAGTTTTTCTTGGAAGGACAAAATTCGTATACTTATTATTTTCATCTGTACCCAACTTTTGTAAAAGTAAACTCACTTTTTGTTCATCAGTCCAACCTTCACATTTTTTTTCAAATATTGTTTCAAATCTTCTGAAATATGCAGGAAATGTTATGCCCTCCTCTGGGTTAAATTTGAACTCAGTAATAGAATTAGCAATACCTTTGGCCGTGAATGACGAATTTACTGGATTCTTAAGTAAAATCGCTTCATATAAAGCCTTTGTATCATTTCGCTGCTGAACTTGTAAATCCAATAGTTGTTCCAGAAACAATTTTTGTTGCTCTTGTTCCTGAATTTGACTTTGCACTAGAGTTTTCGTTAATGCAATCAAATCTTCCATTATGCGTAATAGATTACACAAAACACTTTTCGAAAACAGTCAAAAAAGGGAAAAACATGTATATATCCAACAATAAGCACAAGTTTTACTTCTTTTTGGCACGTTGAAATCCCATTTCTTCGTGAAAAACAAAGTTCAACGTATTGTTTTTTTTTTCTTACAATGCGAGAAAAAAAAAAAAAAATTATATAGTCCACCTAGAGTTGAAAAATTCTCCACTCAGCGTGATGAACGAATCTCTCATCGCCACTGTTATGATGTTGATTTGGGGTTAATAAAGACAAACGCCAAATAACATGTAACAATAAAAAGGGGTTTATTCGGTTGGTAAGTAGGTACAGAAATCGCCTGAGTAGTCTATAACTAGCTCAGCCAAAAACTTCTCCGACTCTGTCTGTCTTTTGACATGCCGCTATTTAACGTCTTTGTTTGTAGACAAGTTCATCTTCAAGAGGGGTGGTAGGTTTCCTACACAACAGAAATAAATTTGGGAATAATCAAAATTAATTGTAATATCCTGCGAAAGTCACCCATGAAATAAAGATAATTTTTTGTATGGAAAGGGCCTACGTACATCAAATTGTCTTTAAATTAAATGGTGGCAGAAAAATTGTCATTGAACTTTTAAAAGTTAAGCTTAAATATTAATTTAATACTTAAATGCAGTGATCAATTTTGATTTCTGTAGTTTATTGTTGCCTATCAAATCTACTCCTCCCTACCTATTGTGATGAAGCTCCAAACAAGAGCCCTCCACAGGAGCTTGCTAAAATGTTGCCCAATAGGGCAGCTTTTAAGCTAGTATTCAATATTTGGCAACATTTAACCTTCATGCCTACAAAAAAAATCAAAAATTGCTGTGTCAAGAAGACAGTTATTCCCTTGACATGGATATTACTTTTTACTGCTCCAGCAATGTTTATTGTTTTAAAAAGTGTTATTTAGAATATTATTAAAGTCCTAACATATTAAAGTGGATTTATACCTTGTCTTTAATTTTGGGAATTGACATCAATAACTATTTATTAAATTGAATAAAAAAAAAATGATAAATAGTAAATATTGCCTTGTAGTTGTTTTCCATATTTTAATAATTTTGTCATTTTTTTTTATAATTTTTTGAATAAAAAGATTCTTTTCAAATTTATTTCTGTATGAAATTTGAAATAATAAATTTTATAAAAGATAAATAATAATTATCACATTGTACTTGGTTTGCATATTTTTATGATCTTGTAAATAAACATTGTAGAGTGAGTCAAAAGTGTATACAGTAATAACAGCACCCAGGGGATAACTATTCTCTAGCAACACCACTTTTTTGCAGGCACAAAGGTTAAACATTGCCCAATATTTTTTTTCAGCTTCATCTATTCTTTTACCCTCATCAGCTGATTGTATTTAAAGTATTGTCATTCCATTTATTATTTCATATTTGAGCAATGACCTTTTATCTGCAGATTTTTTACAGACTCCTTTTATTTTCAGTATTAATTTTTATGATAGCAATATTATTTATTACAATTTACATTTACCTTTTTATTGTGGTTCCTTGTTCATTATACACCATCTATCAACTGAATGTGGATCACTTTCCTTATCTTGGTAGCCATCTGTCTTCTAGCATTGACCTTTAAGATGAGATACAATACCTTCTCAAATGTGCAGGATCAGCATTTGTTTATCTTCAGAATAGTTTTCCAAGATTGTGACATCAGAGCAGACACCAGAATGTTAGTGTAAAAGGCAGTAGTGATTCCAACTCTCCTGTATGCTTCTGAGACCTGGACAACTTATTGATGACATCAGAAATTCATTGAAGAATTTCATCAGTGTTGTCTTTGAAGTATCTTGGACATCAGTTGGGAAGACAGAAGAACTAACATCAATGTCCTGGAACAAGCTAAAATGACCAGCATTGAAGCCATCATAAAAATAAATCAACTTTGATAGAGTGGACATTGAATGTAAATGGATGACAACTGGCTATCAAAGAAAATCTTTTACTCCCAACTCAAAGAAGGAAATCAGAACAGAAGAGATAAGAGATTCAAGGACATTCTAAAAACAAAACCTGAAGAAATGTAATATCAACAGTTGGGAATCCAGTGCAATGGACAGTAATCTCTGAAGATCCATTGTCAGAGACAGAATAATAATCTTTAAATCCAAATGATCAACTAGAGGAAAAAAGATGTTGAATAGAATGACAACCACTACCATGGCCTAATCCATCATCCAAACCAATGTGTTCTCAATGTTAAAGAACATTTCAAACAAAAATTGGTCATGTTAGCAAACTCAACTGACTGAGGCAAACAAAACAAAACCATCATCCTTAACTTTGAGGGATAGCCACGACTATCTGCAATATATGAAGGCAGGTCAATAAATCTGTAGCATTACATTTATACTTTACAAGGGATTGATCTATGTGATTAATATTTACCACTGAATGAAATGTATTGATAATGGAGGAGATTATATTGAAGTCACAGTAGTAACTCTGTTCTAAGTGGAAGGTCAGGCAAAGGTACTCTTGATGAGTCAAGTAGAATTGGAAGAAATTTTTGCAGGCAAAGCATTCTACATTGGTAGAAGATAATAACATAACAAATTGATTGAAAAGAGGAGGGATTGAGAACACCCTTATTTAACAAACTTTTACAGAGCCACCAGTACTTATCAGAACCAAACGAGATAATATACGGTGCCTCACTCTATCAGTGAACGATGACTTAACCTCTTTCAAGACATTTACTCTTAATAAGAGTAAATATAAAGAGGCATCTGTTGTGATCAGAGCTATCACATTGGTATAGCCAGAAAGTGATGTCTGAGGGCTATAGCAGCTGAACAGCCAGGTATGAAATGCTGATAGCACAATAATTTACTCTTGTCTTAATAGTAAACCTGAGAAGTTTGATAAAATCAAGTTGGCAGGTGATCTCAAAAATGATCTTCAATCTTTTGTTAATTGTAACAAAAAGTAGTTTGTTAATTTTAACATAAAAATAAAACTACTCTCTTTTAATCAACTTTAGAGACCCTCCTTTGCCTTCCATCAGCATGGCTGATGGTAACCTCCAGGAGAGTATTTTATTTCATCTTTTGATCTAATGTTTTCCATTGACATGAATAGAATAATTATACTGAATCAATTGCTAAGTCTGCTGCTAGGAAATTCTGTTTGCAATGTCATTCAATTTTACTCTCCAAAGTCTATCTTGCACTTTTATAAGTCTACCATTCATCCATGCTTTGAATATTGTGGCTACATCTGGTCTGGTGCTTCTGTTTTATATCTAGAGATTCTTGAGAAAATCCAAGGAAGAATCTGCAATATTATTGGTCCTCATCTGGCATCTCAGCTTCAGTCACTTACTTACCACTGAAATGTAGCTTTCCTGTAGCTCTTTTATAATTATTTTCATTTTGCTTGAGTGAAATAATAAAAAAGTATAAAAATAAAACAAAAATAATTATGTTCCAAGTAATTATGGTCTATAAGAAGGTTCCATATACCAAAGATGTTAACTGCACCATTTGGTAAAGTTGGAACCCCCTTCAATAAAGAATGTTGCTTTAAATTAGTGAAATCCATGCCTGAAAGAGTTAAGAAGCTTGAGAAGTAACTAGGTAGTAATTCTAATTTTTTTGTCACTAAATTCTATAATTTTTTTCCTTGACATTGGGTTATTCCATATTATTTTTCTCTACATGGCTTAGAAAAAATTATATCATTAATTTATATCTTCTGTCTTCCTGAACTCTGTTCCTTTATTGTCCTTTCCTCACTTCTCACTCTCTGTAACCCCCTGCATCCTAGTAGTATTGCCTTGCTTGGGGTGAAATGATTAAAAAAAAATAAACTAGTTTGTTTAAGGTATATTTTATGAAGCCAGAAAGTTCAGCTATTAAATGTTTTCTGTCTCGTCTGTTAGGTTTCTTTTTTGATTTATAGTAAATAAACTTATAAAAGTGCTAATTCCATAATTTTTGCCAGAGTACGTGTAATATTAATTGTATCAAAAATTAGATATAGTTACGTGGCATTACATTTCTTCACTTTTTTTTTTCAGTTATATATATTTGTAAGTATAGGTAACTTTGACAGGACTCTGTACCTGAGTGAATTATTGATAATAAATTTAGTGATAAAATAATGTCATGTAAATGATAAATCCGATAAAGCACATCTATTTTCATTTTATTTAGTATCAATCATAACTGTTTTTTAGTGTGTGTGTTTTTATCACAGTCTTCATTTAAAAGAATATGAGGTGAATTGCATTTCTTGTTTAGTTTCATTTTCATGTGCTTTTATATTACAGATTGTCCTGGGACCAGATCACAATCATATTCTGTGGTGAATAAGACAAAACAACAAGATGATGTCATTGCAGAAATCAGCTGTGAAAACAAAAACATTGCGAGGGTTTGAACTCTCCACTGTGATTGGAAAAGGTAGCTATGGTGAAGTGTGGCTAGCTAGACATATCAAAGACAGAAAACAGGTAAGTAACATAAATACATTTAATAGCAAACAATACTATGTTATATGTACTCACATTTATTATCTAGAGTTAACTTTTATATGCAAGTACTAGTCATGATTATATATAATTGTTTTCTAATCTATTTGAAGTGCATTTTGTGTAGTACACAATCTAGTTGTTTTTTCATTATCTTGTGTTTTTTATATTGTATTATTTTATGGTTTTGCAGTTTTTCTTCACATTCAGCAAAATAATAACATTTCAGGTATATTCATAACTTTTGGAAGAGTCTGTAGACTGAAATGAATATAAAATCATGTGAAGATTCATATATTATGTTTTTTTTTTTGTTTTTTTTATGCCATGTTCCTTAACAACATACATGATCATGACTCTCTACAGATTCTTTTTGGTTATCTGCTGATACATTCTTCAAAAAGGTATCTGATTAGTTTTCTGTTGACTTCTTTGCAGTTTTTATTACCACCCAAGCTTGAACACCCAGTCTACCCTGCTATTTAATGCCTAGTGGGGGGGTAGGCACAGATTCATGCCTTTTTCAAGGACATTTATGTGAAATTGTATGCAACAGTAGCTCAGAATTTGAATTTTGATTCACCAATTCCCTTTTCTGTACCATATCAGTTTATTCAACCAAATCATAAATAGCATCTTTTTCTTTCTTTATAATTGTTAATGCCTTTTGATGAATGGATGAAATGATTATGTAAAAAATTTTCTACAAAATTCTAGAGTCAGAGTGCTGAGTATAACATCAATCTGCTATGTGACAAATTTTATATTTATATGACTCGTATAGTGTGTGTTTTTAGAGTAAGATATAGAATCCTGACAAGATTCTGAAGAAATTTGAGAAATGAAAAATGTTTAATTGAAACTAGATTTGATTATGTGTTTCGCCTTTCTAGGTTTCATCAGATCCAAAAACAAAAGAAAGAAATTTGTGTATGCTTAAATGATGAATCATTAGTACTTTTTCTTTCAGTTTGTTTCAAGAAAATGAAAATAAGTGAAATAGGATAGAGAATCTCAACAATCCTATTTTAAACACATATTGTTGATATGGAAAACATATGGACAGACCTAAAAACATATAATTCTTTTACTTTCAACCCATTCTGAATGATTGGACAAGGATTTGCCTTGGATTCATTTCAGAAGAGGCTTAATGAATCTCTTGCTTTTGTGCCATTCTGAAAATGAGATGAGGATTTACCTTTAATTCGATACAAAAAAAGCTGAGAAAATATATTAATAACTTTTGACATGAACTAAGAATTATAAAGAAAAGAATGACTTTTATAAAAGTCACTCATTTTCATCTTTCATCACAAGAAATGCCATCTTGTAGAAAAGGTACTAATGATTCATTATTTAATCTCTCTCATACACACACACATATTTCTTTCATTTTTGGATCCGATGAAGCCAAGAAAGGCAAAATGTATAATTAAATCTAATTTCAATGAAATGTTTTTCCATTTGTAAAATTTCTTCAATAAATATGTATAAAATGAGGTGCTGAAAAGTTCTCTTGAATGAAAGAAAAAATATTTGGTTAGATTTTAGAAATTAAATTAGCCTGAGGACTTCTCACCTCCTTGTGTGTGAGCAATATATAAAGAGTACAACTGCAAAAGATAAAAAATTAAAAGAAAAGTATTTTCTTCATTAAGATATATTGCACTTTGATCATAAGCAATCATGTTTAAGTGTCTAATAAAAAGGGATTCTATATTACACTATTGACAAGTAAATTCCTAAGTTTATCTTGTATTTCATAATTTTTATATTAAATGGTATTCAGACAAAATTATCCAGTTGGTATTAGAAACTAAGCAAGTCAATTTTGAAAATAATATTAGTGATGTATTTCTGTCCTATGACTTTTCTTAGTTTTATAAAAAAAAATCATTGGAAACAAAGAAGAGTACTGAACTGTTATGGCAGTGAATGTTGGACCACCTTATCACAGATTGAGAAGAGACTTAAGGCAACAGAAATAAGGCTCTACAGAAGGATGCTGAGAATACTATGAACTGAACACATGAGCAACAACAAAGTTTTAGAGAAAATGGAAACAAAAAGAGCACATACATAACACCAGAAAGAGTTGAAATTTCTAGGGGGCACACAATGAGGAAAGAGGGCTTGGAAAATCTGATACTTGCAGGTCATATTGAAAACAAGAGGAAAGCGGTTCATACCTAACAAGCTTGTGTAAATGGCTGACAGAACAGAGATTAAGAAATAAAGAACAAACTTTACTAAGGACAACAAGGAGTGAAAATTGTGGAGAGCTGTGATCATCCACATCTTGAAGTGACATGGTACATAGAAAAAAAATGAAAGGATTTTAATTAAGCAGTATTTCAATAAAGAATCTTTAAAGCATTCCTTATAAAAGTTATCATACTTAGTTTCAGTAATCATGTTGCATTTTATCCAGTGTTTGTCATAAAATTCAACGTTTCTCTTTTTCTCCCCCCCCCTTTTTTTCTTTGTTTGCTTTTTCCTTTCATGAAATTTCATTTAATCAGTTTTTAGCTAGATTGGGTAATTGTATGATATTCCTGTGTAGTAAGCTCTACTTTTAACCATGAAGGATTTAATGGATTAGTTATAAAGACTTTGTTTTATAAAGACTTACCAAACATTTCAGTAATTGTAAAAATTTCAGATAGAATATATCTGTAAAGGACAATATGAATAAACACAAAAGCAACACATATTTTAGCCAACACATTTCATCCTCTGAGGGACTTTGTCAAGGCAAGTGACAAGTAATGTTTTTGCTCTTGTATATAAATACTCGTCACAAAATAAAATCCTTACATTTGCCTTGATAAAGACCCTCAGAGGATGAAACTTGTTGTCTAAGGTAAGATTTCCTTTTGTCTTTATTCATTTCAGTAATTGTTTTATAAGAGTACAATATGTATCTTTTTCTTTTTTTTCATAAAGCATAAAACTGACTGCTTTTACAAGCAACACTAAATCAATTTACTATCAATTTTTTTCTTCATTTCCCACCAGAAACCTTTCAAACATCAAACTTAACTGTGAAAGAGGTTTGGATATTTATTGTTCATATTTTAATTCTTCCAAAACTTTACCAATCAACTGTGTCAAATGCTTTTGAGAATGCTGCCATTTTTAGGGCAAATTCAAAAAGACATTTTCAGTACACTCTTCCATGATGGTTCCAAGATTATTGATGGGATTGAGGTCAAGTGAATTCCCTGGACCCCTGCCAATCCATCTTCTCAGACAAAAAGAATGAAGCTTTTTCAACCTGTGTGTGGCCTTAAATACAAAATAAGTGATTCATTTCTTCACTTATGAGTCAGCCATTGAAATTCACAAAAATAGACAAATATTTAGGTTTCTGTACAGATTGCATAGAAAATGTCAAGAAAATTCAAGATGATCATGTGCACAAATGCTGTTAGGTTCCATAAAGAACATGTTCCTTTTGTAGCACCAAAACCCACCAAAAAAAAGAACTTTTTTTTTATTGAGACAAATTTTATTCAAGTCGATCAATGTACAATGTCTTCTCTCCAAATGCTGGATATTTTTTGGATATATGAGGAAAGCAGTTTTAGAGAATGTAACATTCACTGTACCTATCACATATTTGAAAACAAAGAAATAAAGCAAGGGAAATGGAGGAAAGCAGCAAGTAAATTATTTGACAAGTCTTAGCAAACGGATGAAGGAACAGTGCTAATAAAGTAGTAAGTACTGATGAAAGCAACAAATGATAGAAAATTGTGGAGAAATGCAACACATTGAAGAGACATGAGATGTATGTTAAATGCTTGTAGATTAAGAAGAGGAATTGACATGTGATATTACTCTTGGTCACAGAAAAGGAAGTTTGAAGAACATTGCAATTGCAGTTTTGAGATTAATGCACTTAGTCATTATTAACAGTTGTTAGGATCTTTCATAATCTCTTTAAAAAAATATAGACAAAAAGGTGACACTCCTATCATAATCAGAAAGAAAAATAACATGAAAGGAGAATACACATATATTTTACTGATAAAATGCTTTATTGATGTCATAGTATTAAAAGTAAAGAGGAATGTCTTAAAATTATTTTTTTTATCAGATAGAAGTCAGCTGACTACCCAGCAATGTCTGTGAACTTGTATTTACATAGTTTTAATATTTTTTTGAGAATATTTGTTTATCTGTTAAAAAGTTTAGTTGATAAATTCTTTTGCAAACATGATAGTAGATAATAGAGTACTCTCAAGTCTGAACCCATCACAAATCCTGTTTATACTAAAGGAAAGAAATTTTATCTTTACGTAACAAGGTATTATATATTAACTTGAAATTATAGAACTCCATTTAGATGTACAATTATGTGTAGGATGCCCAGAAACTCATAAGAAAAGGTCACTTCTACCAACCTTATGTCTTTTCTGACATGTGTAAGAGTTAAATCTAATCATTTTCTTATTTTTATCTTATTTATTTTTTAAACATCCTCTATATCAGGACTGTACAATAAAATAAAAAAATTGAAAGGCCACATTGTTTGTAAAAAAAAAAAAAAAAATTAGCCATCATTCACAAGAAAATCTTTTTAAAGAATGAGTAATATAGAAACGGAAAGATAGCAAGAAAATTTGTTAAAAGGATTAGATAAAAAGATAGTTAAATGTTGGTTGAATAAAATCATACTTCCACAAAACTGAGATATGCAGCCATATCACGTTGAAATACTGCTTATCATACGACCACCAAAATTAATCAACATTGAATCTGGTCAGTATCTAGATGGGCGACTACTTGGGAATACCAGGTGCTGTAAGTATAGATGTGCAGGTGTTGTAATGGATAAGAGCTGCTTTCCAGATTTGCAAACTGGAGATCAGTTCCATTTCTAGTCGGGTACGTTATATTCACTTATGAGCAAGTACCCTTGGGAAAAGTATGAATCCTCCACTTCTCTCCTAGCTATGGATTAATTAGCAGGACTTGTATCAGTAAATCATTATCTTGAAAAAATTCTTACAATCTAAAAATATTTTCTGGCTTTGAATAACCTGCAAAAGGTTGATAAGCCATAAAAAACCAAACAAATCAATCAATCAAACCACAAGACTGAATTCCTTGTATGTGACCAGTCATTGAATTTATTGGGATGAACACAAAAAATTGACAATTTTGAAAAGCTGGCTCATTGTAGACTCACATGTATTTTTGTGCAGACCTGCTCTGTGGTTTGGCAAGATGTGATAAATGGTTTTAATGTGATAAATAATGTTTTCTTTGTAATGAGTGTTGAAATAATTTGACAAAACTATGATTTACCAACTAAGATCCTTTTAATTTCATACAATGAGTTTATTCCAGCTGATATCAAATCAGCATTTATTTGTTTTTAAATATGTGACCTTTGAATAAAAAATATAAAACAACTTTTTGATTTCTAGTAGCAAGCAATCATCACCAGGAAATTTCATTAACTTTAACTTCAAAATTTTCTTTAATTGCAGTATGTTCTGAAAAAGATCAACTTGAAAAGTGCATCTGACAAAGAACGAAGGGCAGCAGAACAAGAAGCTCTTCTTCTGTCAAAGTTAAGGCACCCCAATATTGTGACATACAAGGATTCATTCCAGTCTGGTGAGCGCCATTTGTACATTGCTATGCAGTACTGTGAAGGTGGAGATTTATATACATGGCTTAAAGAACGAAAAGGCAAAGTCCTTGAAGAAAGACAAGTAGTTGAATGGTTTATTCAAATAGCCATGGCACTTCAGGTAAGACGTCATATTCTCTTTTATCCACTGTAGGAAAATTCAGTTTTTCATAAGTGCCTTGTTTTTATTCATTTTAAAGAATAGTGTCTATTAAATTAGAGTTAATAATCTATATATAAAATTCTGTGACTTCCGTTAGTCCATCTGTCCATCTATCTATCACACCTTCTAAAACAGCCATACATTGACCAACTGAAACCAAATTTTACCAGGAGTACAAAATACAGTTGGTTTTACTAGGGTGCGTAGCTTAGTACAATAAATTTTCATTAATTTTTTGGTTGAAAAATTAAGTTTTATTTAACATACAAAATACTCCCACTATTTTAAAAACAATTTAATGATTAAGATACCAAATACTTATTTAACAAAAATGCAATGTTGTTTTTTGTATATCTTTTTAAGTTTTTATATATACAAGAATCCAGTTTACCCTGCATTTATGGGAACTATAAACAAATCACAAGACCAAATGCTTCAAAAAGTTGGAATTTTGCTCCAGAAAGAAATATTTACGCATGGCCAGTTGTATGTTGCATGCTCATGAGTAAGAAATCGTAAGAATTTATTCTTCACTGTTAAAAAGGAAAAAAAGAAACTTTCTTAAAAAATATTGTTTACCATAAAGTTCTATTAAATTATTAAACTGTGAAGTAGGGTTTTTGTCAAAGTATTTTTTCCAAACAAATCAGCTTATTCAAATTTCATTGATTGGTTTACAAAATTGAACGATACATAGTTTGGAAATCTTGACAAGAGTGTGTTGCAAAAATTTCTAGTAATAATAATAATAATAATAAAAGGTTTAGTTCAAAATACCATAAAAGCTACCTGGATTGATATCTGAAAAAGGCACAATGGTTGAAACATTGTCATAATAGCAACAAAGATAAAGATATCAATTTGAATATAAATAATGTAGAATTGTTTGCTTCCCAAAGTGAACATGGATTCTATCCTTGAATTAGGTGTAACCAAATATAATGTGAAGACTGAGAGTGGTATCAAATATAACAATTGTAGGGAATTTTTCTTTTTGTAGACAGTTGATGGAAGGTAAGGAAATATACAACTTGTATCCAACCATATGTAGATGACAGTATTGATATTGTTACGAGTTCCCATTTTGTCCTGCTTCTTTATGCTTATACTATAAAATACAAAATCTAACTTGAAATGATGACTTACATTTGTAGCTAGCAGATGCCCTTTTTACCATACAAAAAGCTCCCATTCATCAAACCCTTGAGATTTCATAATAATAGAATGGAACTTTCTAGAAGTCTCTAGAAACTTCTACTGGGTTCTAGAGGGTACAAAAAACATATATAAACAGGAGTTTGTACCAATTATCCAGTTGCCTCCTGAACCCACATCCGTGACCATTGAGGTGGACTCCGGACTTTTTGATTCAAGAACAAAGCTTTGACTGAGAGAATCTAAGTTCCAACAGTCCTCAAAAAGAAAAAACTGTCGGTAAATACTTCACCCTTTTTCCTTGATATTATTGACCAAACTCCTTTATTTTATATATATGTGAATATCAAGCTATTTTTAAGAAGAAAATAATGTAATTCTTTGACTAGTGACGAATTCCTGTTCGTCACCTTAATCTTAACTACAGTGGGTTTCCTCTCCCACTCCCTTGTATAGTTACATGTTAAGCCAACTACTTTCTGGGCTCTCGCTTGCTTAGTAACTTGTTAGCATTTCCTAACTTATATTGTTTAAACCTCATCCCTATTGTTCAAAAATATATTGTATTATATGTAATAATAAAATCTGCATTTCATTATTAGATGTAATCACTTTTCTTCAACCTATGAATCTGGTTCTTCTTATTTTGTGTTGTGCTAGCCGTAACAATGTCAGATACAGAAAAGAAACTATAAAAACTCATACAGAAGTTAGTGAAAGAGAGAAGAAAGGCCTAAAACATTAATTGTAAAAAGACAATGCGGACATCCTGACATGCAAATTACAAATTGGAGATACCAAAATCAAACAAGTACAACAATTTAAATATCTTGGAAGTGTTTTAACAGAGGATGGAAAGTGTGACACTTAAATGTGAAGGCACATTGAGATGATGAAAGGTGCCATCCAAAAGCTAAGCAAAGTATTAAGAAACAGGAAAATTCTCATTAGAAACAAAGAAAAGATTACTAAACTATATCATAATATGGCAGTGAATGCTGGACAATCTCATGACAGATGAAGAAGACTTGAAGCAATAGAAATACTTAGATGTTAGAAAGAAGTGATGATAAAGTACATATCCTGTTAAGACATTGTCTTTTTCATCTTAATTTTAGTTGCTTTTTATTGTAACTTAGACTATCAATCTACAGCAGTGAGTAAACAGTCAGATTAAAAATAAAGAATATACTCCAGGCCGTATTTAAATTGCATTTACTAAGTCAATCAATAGAGTAGTTTCTATATGTGGCCAGGCTTCCCTAAAATAAAGTTTGTATCTAGAGTTTATTCTTTATTTTTGATCTGAACTTATTACTCACTATCATAAAGAACAACAAAACCTAAAATTAAAAAAATACTAGTAAAAATGAATAATACACTGTCAGATTTTATTATGCATGTTGTCATAATAAAATTATTAATCCACAAATGTTGGTAAAGTTTGCAAGATATATTTATATAAGCAATATATAGAGTTTCTGCTTGTTTGGGGGTGGTGTCAAGTTTCAGCATGCAAGCAAAATGCAATATAAGAGGTTCGTTTATAAATAAATCCAAAAGATAGAAGCCAGAGAAATATATATTTGATTAACCCATTCATGGGTTATAGGTAGAAACTTATAATTATTACTGAAATATATGGTGAACATTAATGAGTTAACACACAGTCCACTATAACTGAATAAATTATTATTTTAAATGTTGAGATTCTATAATGTTCATCAGTCTTTTATCCATTAATTTTTAACTTTTCTACAGTTCTACATTACTTTCATCAGTCTTTTATCCATTAATTTTTAACTTTTCTACAGTTCTACATTACTTTCATCAGTCTTTTATCCATTAATTTTTAACTTTTCTACAGTTCTACATTACTTTCATCAGTCTTTTTATCCATTAATTTTTAACTTTTCTACAGTTCTACATTACTTTCATCAGTCTTTTATCCATTAATTTTTAACTTTTCTACAGTTCTACATTACTTTCATCAGTCTTTTATCCATTAATTTTTAACTTTTCTACAGTTCTACATTACTTTCATCAGTCTTTTATCCATTAATTTTTAACTTTTCTACAGTTCTACATTACTTTCATCAGTCTTTTTTATCCATTAATTTTTAACTTTTCTACAGTTCTACATTACTTTCATCAGTCTTTTATCCATTAATTTTTAACTTTTCTACAGTTCTACATTACTTTCATCAGTCTTTTATCCATTAATTTTTAACTTTTCTACAGTTCTACATTACTTTCATCAGTCTTTTATTGCTTTCCAGTGTTCTCCATTTTCATATAAATCTCTTTTAATGATGGACCACAAGTTTTCTATTGGATTAATATCAGGGCTGACGATCCATTATATTAATTTGGTGTCTTTGAAACATTTTTTGGCAAGGTGGGCAATAGTTAATGTTGCAAAGGAGCATTGTCTTGTTTTTTTTTTTATATAGCTTAAAGCTTCTTGGTTTTTATCTGTACCACTCATAAACGTCTTCCCCCAAGAAATTACACTAATTCTCAGCATTTATCTTGAAACAATCATCAACTTTGAAGGGATCTATAACTTTATTGTCTACAATACTAACTCATAAAATTACTCCTTCCCTCCTGTTGTTTTTTAAGTCATTTCAATCAAATGTTTCCATGAAGAGACCAACCTCTATCTTAGCTATCATGTCCATCCAATGTAGTACTACATTAATTAATAAAAAAAATTTGAAAATTGAAAAAATTATTTTAATGTACTTCTTTGATCACTTTGTGTTTCTCGTTGTGATGTTTACTTAAAGATGGTAATTTGGTTGTTTTCACATTTTTAGCCAATGTTCATAATATTTTACATCTTTTCTCTGTTTACATTTGCAATGCCAGCTTGTTGAAATCCAACAGAATGATAAGATAACAAATAGGAAACACTTTATTAGACCTTCATCAAAGAATGAGATATGGAGAAAAAGAAGAAATTCTGGTATTATTACTTTGTGTTGTGTGTTTAATTTTCATTTGTTAATCGAATGCACATGAAACATGATTAACCAATGAAAATCAAACCCTAAAATAAAAATACCAGAATTTCTTTCTTTTTCTCTATATCTCATTCTCTACTGAAGTTTTTAAAAAAGTGAAACCTGTTAGATTGATAAACATTTCCTATTTGTTTTTTCCTTATATATATATATATATATATATATATATAATGGTAGGCTTTAGTAGTCATGATAGACATGTGAAAAAAATCAGCATATATATGCAGTTGAGTAAGATAGACTCATGGGAGATAATCACATATGTGGTTGAGAGTTAGTCTCTGCTGCTGCTGGTTTTTATCACTTGCCAAAAGCATCACTGTTCATAGAAATGCTTTGGTGTCACTGCTGATGGTCTGATTAAGCTTGCCTGTCATAGGGGTTCATTGCTAATGCCAGTCTGGTCAGATCTTCCCTCATTGGTGAAATCGGCATTGGCTTTATAGTGTGGGTCAGTGGCTGCTATGAAAACCATGTGGGCCTTTTCTGATAGGCCAGAAAAGATGTTTTATGACTTATATTTTTGGACAGTATTCCAAAAGTAGATGCTTGGTGCCAGACGAAATTAAGGCTTTTTTTCATCATATGAGCTATGGATGTAATGAACACTTCTGTTTGAGTTATAAAAAATTGGAATTCAGACAGGGTACCCCTCCCCCACATACACAATCTCACACCACTAAAAGTTATTGTAAATATTTATAATAAAAACACATATTATAAGTTGAAATTCACATAGTATAATTATTGTATTAATATATACTGAAAACATTACCAAATTACAAATTATGAAAACATCGAATTAAAAATAACATAAAATCTGAGTTAACGTAGTTGAAAATGCTTTATTTAATAAAAGACATGTAGGTGGTGTAATTGATAGTGGCTTACAATGAAAAATTAGAGAACCAAGTTCAAACTTCAGTCAAGTTTGTTATATTCACTTAAATACCTCTGGGGAAAGGTTAAATCCATCTCTTCTCCCTCTAGCTATGGGTTAAATAGGACTTGTATCTGGAAAAATCATTATCTCCAGAAAATTGTTAATGCAATATTCACTTGCAAAAAAAAGAAATTATTCTTTCAAATCAAAAATGTTTCGGTTTTAAATAGCTCACAAAGGGTTGATAAACCATGAAAATTTAAATAAGTTAAAAGTTTATAGTTGAGTTCAACAGAAAATAAAATCTTTTGTAGTTGAATGATAAAAGATAATCATTGAATAAAGTAGTGTAAGAAATTTGTAAAGAAATAAAAAATATTTTTTAAAAAAATGTGGGGGTGGATTGGATGAATTAAGATTCCAATAAGATTTTTGTTTATCATGAAAACTTAAAAAACAAAAGAAAAAACTAGATATTTACTTTCTTTAAAGATTTTGTTCTTTTGTTCCTAACTCTTTGTTGAATAGATAGTTTTAATTCTAGCAGTGGTGTTGAGTACTGAACTCATTTCTTGTGTTACTTTTGTTTTCTGATCAATTCCCTGATTTTTTTTTTTTTTTTTCTAGAGTACATTTTGTAAAAAAAAAAAAAATAGAGAAGAGTGATTTGAGTTCAGAGGTATAAACTAAATCAGCGCCCATTTCTTTTTCATTACCATTTTTCTGGAAGAAGACTTTTTTCTTATAGATTGTATACTTGAAGAAGGCTGTAAACTGAATCAGCTGCAACATTGTGTAGCAGCAACAAAAGCAACTCTGAGTTCACTTGTCTGAACAAGTCTTTCAATAATGGCTTTTCTCAAATTAATTAGATGGTTTCAATAGTTATTTTGTGACTTAGATATGTTGTGACAATAATAAAATGAATTTATAAGAGACTTATAAAAATGCACTAATAAAAATAGAAAATTATTCAACTCCCGACTTTTTTTTTTTTTCTTTTTACAGTATCTTCATGAAAGAGATATTCTTCATCGGGACTTGAAAACACAAAATATTTTCTTGACAAAGAATAAGATTATCAAGGTTGGAGACTTAGGAATTGCAAGGTAATATTCTTTGGGAGTTTTTTTTTTTTCCTCCTCCCCCACATCTGTAATTAATTTAACTATTTTGTAACTCTTATCACCTGTGTTTTTGATGTTGCATTAAATATTACTGTCAGTATTTAAAAAGACAAAAGGAAAAAGATGTATCAACATACACGTTCGTTCAATCCCCCTCTAAAGTTATTTGGAAATTCTGTATGAGGTCCTACCTCAAATATTTGATCATTCTCTTATTCAGTTTGTTTATCAGTTTAGCTTCCTCTGTCTTACCAGATATTTCAAGCACTTCTCTAATTCATTCCATCATGGAATAAAGAACTTGTTTTCAATCAAATTTATTTTTTCTTTAGTGAAGCTATTTCATGTCTTAAAGATTTTAGGATGGTCCCACATTTATTTGAATTATTTTTCATCCCTGTCAAGTGTAATGAGCATATAAAAAAAAATGTATTTATTTACATGCAGAATATTGTCCTCATCTCTCATTTTATCATAATGTTTCATCTGTGGTGGCCACCAGCCTTCTTCAGGTGTTTGCCACATGTAAATGATAACTTATCCCAGAAATTCAGACAGAAGTTAGAAATTTTACATTGTTGTTATTTTAATCATCATCAGTATATTAGATACAACTATATATTTGTATGATTTGTGGGGATTGCCAGCACAGACTAGAACTTGTTCAGTGACATTAATAGTAGTGAGACTAAAAGTTTTGTTTGGTAAGTATCCAGCCATTTAATATTAAAGGAGAGGGGAAAGTAGACTACCTAGGGGAATGACACCTTAGTTCTCATAAAAATAATGCTTTTGAGACCTTGCACATTTATTCCAATCTCTCTTCTACATTTTAAAACAGTTTCAAGTTTACTCTTTTGAATTGCTATTGCCTGGCTTATTATATTCTCCTCAACCTTATCCACAGTGATTTTTTTTTTTTTTTTTTTTTTTTTAAATTATAGGGAGCCACATTTAGACTATAGTGGAACTTACAGACTTATGTGATGTGAAGATTTTACCAGAAAACTCTGCAAATGACATGAATCTACAAGCTTTATCATTGAGAATGTAACAGTCAGACAGGACATAAGATCACTCAATGTAAACTTATTGTTGACTGAATAACCACATGGAGGAATTTCTTCATGCATGTACAGGTCTCTTGATTAAGTGCCAAATTTCACCAAAGTTGCACTACCAGTTCCTAAGAGATGAAAAATAGCTGGACATGTTTCAGACAGACTTTGTTATTAATGGCGGAGGCATCCTCTGCCAGTAAAAATAATTCTATTTTAATGAATTGTTCCTGTTGAATAAGCAGGCATTTTTAAGTGGTAATGGAAAAATTCTTAATAACAAGAAAAACAGGGTAAAATAATACAAGACAAGGCAATGTTATGCAAGGAAAGAAAAAAAAGCAAAGCACCTATACAGAAAAGTGTGTGTGTATATATATATATATATATATATATATATATATATATAGTATTATAAGTAAAAAAAAATTCACAAAATAGAAATGGTGTTCATATGTGAACACAATACAGTCAAGTTGTTATAGCCTTCTGACTTCATTCATGGTAAGAAAGAAAAAAATGTTTGCGTAAAACCAAGAATTGTCCATTGTTAGGAAGAAATCCCAGCATACAACTGTAGAATTTGTCTATAAATTTGGGGAGGGTGGATTTTTAGCAGTTATTCCCTGAAATTGGAAACTCCTTTTTTTTTTTTTTTTTTTTTTTTATGTTGTAGGCTATTGGTTTGGATAAGCATTTTTACATAGTAGTAATTGATCAATCATTACACTAAGTTCAATCCTCATTGGGTGCTCATGACTTGTGGCCTTGTGCCACATCTAAGCTACACTTAGTAAATCACTATTAGTTTAGGTAACTCTGTTCAAGAGAATTATAGTGTTTGACTTCTGGCAAGAATGTGTGTTTATTCTACAGCATAAGATTTTCTTGAATTTCAAAATTGGTTCATACAAGGGGGAGCTTGAAAGCTACCTAAAACCAGATTTATTATTCTCTATATGTCATGACCCTTCAAAATATGAGAAATCATAGCTGAAAAAATCATTATCTCCATTATCTAGAGCTTTCTTTTTCTGCTCTAAGTAATACTTGTTCTTTTATGACTCCTCTTTGTCTTTATCATACTTTTCCCACCGTCTTTTTTATTGTCAAGTAGGTTTCTTGTAACTTTTTTCATCTTCTCTTGCCTTCAACATACTCTGTGAATGTTAAATTTGCTGAATCTTCTTTCCTCAATACATGTCCTAAAAATTTAAACCCTCTCTTTCTGATTGGAGAAGAGAATAATAGGAGAAAGAAACTAGAGGAAGTGTGTTTCAAGGGATGGGGGGTAACAGAAACTGTCAGTCAGTTCTTTTAGTGGAATTGAAAGAGAACCTATTCAAATATGACAACCATAGTGGCATATGCATTCACATCAGAAAGGAGAAAAAAGATAACTTTTACAACACACTGGAAAAGTATCAGTAAGTACCAAGAAATTATTATCATTATGGATGTAAGGAACTACTGCAAAGGCAAAAAGGCCCAGGGTTGCATGCATTTTGTGCAACAGTCAAGAACAAAGATCACTTACTTTGAAGTTGCAGGTGATGAATAGTGTTCCATGTGAAGAGAAAATACTGAAAAAGAAAAAGGTTAAAGTGCTTTGTTTTTTAAAACAGGTTTCCTGCATCAATTGGCTGGTTCTTTGGCTAATCAGTAGTAGTTTAATGTAATGTGCAGATTGCTTGGTTTGTTGAATAATCATTGACAGCCTGATACAATAAAAATCCCACAAGATGAGAGGGAAGTGGATTCTTCTTGGCAAGAATTGTTGTCCAGAGTGTTGAAGTATAGTGACAATTTCTGACAGTGAAGTTTTTTTTTTTTTTTTTGCTCCTACAATGAAGGATCTATATGCAAAACTAGGAAAGGAACATGATAGTTAACTGTCTGATAAGTATACATACAGAGAACCTGTTTCTTTGTGCACAACAAATGACCGATTAATTACCAACACTTTTTAATGAAAATTTTGATGAAAATCCAAGATCCTTATAGACTTGGAAAAACTCAGCAGAGATCTAAACAAAAACTAGACTACATCTGAACACCCCAACTAAAAGTGCAACAGCTTTATTTACTTGGTATGCTTTATTTAATAATAAATAGTTTTATTATATTTACTATTGTTAATAGTGAAACATAATATATGCATTTACTGATGCTTTAAGAGATTAGGATAAGGAAAATGAGCAAAAGAAAAAATCACAAAAGCAATGTGCATGTGTTGATCGCTGAAGGAAATTTTGATAAAGGTGGAAAAATGGCATTACCAAGTCTCTAATTTTTTATGTTCTTTCAATAAGACATTTTTTTTTTAATCATTTCACCCCAAGCAAGGTGTTAATGTCACTGGGAGTAAAAGAGAATGAGTAGACTTTAGTGAGAAGTGATGAGAAAGAACAATAAAAGAACAGGTTTTAGGAAGATGGAAGAGGGCGATTGGCATTGCATTTAAATTTTTGAAGATTGTAGGTGGCAAGGAAGCAAGAAATCAGAAGGGTGTTTCACAGGTGAGAAATGCAAGAGACCATTAGAATAGAACATACGGTTACATTTAACTTGTTCAGTAAAACAGTGAGACCTAGTTGCCAATCTAGTAGCACGCTTAAAGAATTTTGTCACTTCCTGTAAATGCTTGTATAAAAAACACACATTTAATTTTTATTTGGTAGATCTGTTGGACTTCTAAACTTCATATGTATTCAGATACTAAATGACACGTTTGGTTTCACTTTAATGACAAACTCTAATATCAACACAAAAAGATATAAAGCATTAAATTCACCATCTCCTATTTCGATGTACTTTCTATTAACAACTATCTGAATTTTGATCAATTTTTAATTTTTTTGTCAATTGTCTTTGTGTATGTAATTTTAAAAAGGTGGCAAAATTGGCATTCCTTACTTAAGTATATTTTTTATTCCTTCTTTACTTCATTTTTCTCCTTTTTTTTTTTTAATGGCTCATCAATTAAATAGGGAAAGAAAATGTTTATTACTTCACTCTATTGTTCAACACCAGTCATTCTGTTGAGTGATTTTTTTTTTTTTTTAACTTCATTTTTGATTTATCAGGAGTAGAAGTTTATCTCTTGTTTCCTGTTTAGCATTGTCGTTCCAGTTCCTTCTAAAGTCTGTAAACTCTATACTTCTAACATCTCCACTTAAACTCTAAAATTTTGTTATTTTTTTATTTTAGATAGATTTTATTTTTTTTTTTATTTAGATAGGTTCACCTATAGTCTGGTTCACATTACTCCCCAGCTTCTTGAACAGGAGTAGGGGATTATCCCTTGTTTCCTGTTTAAGATTGAGTTTCCAGTTCCTCTAAAATCTTTTTATTCTCTTTCACTCCCTCTAGCCCCTTATGTCTTAGTGGTATAGTTGCTTTGTTTGGAGGGAATTGATTTAAAAAAAAAAAATAAGGGTGGGGATTCTTGGATAAAACTAGTGTCATTGCACAGGATACCTATAACACTATTTTAACCGATATCTTGCTCACATTAAATGAACTGATGCCTTTTTTCCATATATCTGAACTCTGGTTATAAATTTAATTTGGAAAGTGAAAATTTCCAAGGTTTCATCTGAAATTAAGAAAATAACAAACTTTAAGCAAAATGGTCGCAATATCTGGAAAAAAAAGTGTCCATTTAAACTGATCCCAGGAAGATATAGGTTAATTATTAGTATTATTACAAAATTGTATATCTATAAGAATTCTTTTTGGCATGTTCTTGTTTTAAGATTTAAATTCTCTTTTATAATTACTCAGTCTTAACTTTTTTGGTCCTGTGCATCCAAAAATTTTTTTATTCTATAAAAACAAGAATTTTATATTGTTACAGGTAAGCAACACACAAACACGTTCATTATTATCATAATGAAAGGAGGTGGGAGAAAACAAATAGGCTGTATGAGAAATAACTATAACATGTTTGTCTTTCTCTCTTTCCTCCTTTCTTTCTTTGCTGCACATCCCATTTCAAACCAGATGGCCCGGCCCTGTAAAATGGATATATGCAGAATCAAATCAAAGACTCATAAGATAACTAACGCTTACACTGGAAAGTGCATATTTTGACCAGGTGAACTGTTTCCTCTGCCGAATACATGTTTTAATAAAAATTTAAAAAGAAAGTTCAGTTGGTGAAAAACCCTTGTGCTGATAAGATCACAGATTGTGTCTTCTGTATATAGTGAAAAAAAGTTGTCATTTGACACCCAGAATTATTTTGTGGACTAAATAAAGAATTAACTTTGAACTGTTAATGAACTGATTTTCTTTCATAATGGGATTAAGACGACAAGATGAAGTCATCAAACTAATAATGCAAAAAGAGGAGCTGAACTGTTTACTTCTGGAAAATAACCCCCCTATGATCGAGGAGTTTTCAGATATTTGGTCCATCATCGCCATTTCTACCTTATACACGTTTTTCAGCAAGTGAACTCCTGTCATATGTAACATAACCACATTCTATCACATGATTGTGTCTATCTCTTTCTTTCAGTCGTGGTTGTTCTCTTATTAAAATTTTCTTTAACTTTCATATCCTTGTTTGTGTCATTCATTGATATATTTCATATATTGAATTGTTCCATCCTGGCAGACAGACCATCCAATCTTTTTTAATGAATCTCCTGAATTCATCAACTTAGATATCGAAGTCAATCATCAGACAAAAACAAATTCATTTATAAACAAATATTGTTAGGATATAGGGAGCCTGTATAATATTATTTATCCTGCTCATGACAATATCCCTTAAATTCTGTTTTCCTCAATGTTTCAATTTTTACATAAAGAGAAAGTAAAGCAGATGAATTGTTTTCTGACAGAGCATGTTTGCTGACAATCAGTTCTTTTAAATTTATCTTAGATATTTCCTAACTTGATTTTATTGGCTGAATTTTTACTTGCAGAGTACTCGAGAACTCTAGTGACATGGCTACAACATTAATTGGTACTCCATATTACATGAGTCCAGAACTATTTTCTAGCCAACCTTATAATCAAAAGGTAAGTAAACTAGAATTACTACTTTTATGTAACATGATTAAAATGATAGCTGTTAAAATTTATAAACTCATAAAAGGGAAGCAATATTTATCCTTACATTGAGTTTCTCTTTTAGGAAGTTGAAAAATGTTGACCATTACAAAATATTAAATTAGATATATAAGTATAAAGTACATACAGTGGAGGGGAACACAAGTATTCGTATACATACAATTTTTTAATTTATTGTATTTCCAACTAATGAATAAACATACTTTTCATATAATTAACTGTACACAGATGCATAATAACTAAATATATATAGAAAACAGAAAAAAAGTTTGATTTAATAGAAATAAATGCCATTTATCCATTGCAAATTTGTATGTGTATGAATACTGTTTCCCCCCACAGTATATGTATAACTGATTGTGTATAGGCCTTTTATTTATTCATGCCTTTAAGTTATTCAAAATTTGTATAGTGGATCCATATAGTGTTTAAGAAGAAATCAAAATGTGCTTTTTTACAAGACCATACTTACCTTATCTGTAAACATAAAAAAAGTACTTTTTTTTTTTTTTTTTTTTTTTTTTTTTTTTTTTAAATGAATTGAGCCACTTTTGTGGCTACCTGTCATTTATTATATTTAACCAGCCACATGTCTATGGCCAAACTGTACTCTTTAATCAGTGCCTAGAGTGTTTCCAATTGTTTCCTTCCAAGAATCTCACATACTGCCAATTTGGACACGCTTTTCTGGTCAATATGATTGAAATCCAGCAGTGGGTACAGGTGGAATTGATAACCAGGTGCAACACTTACACTTTCTACTGGAGAGCCAGGTTCATTCCTTTCAATATTGTCATGAGCTTGGTTAGGCTAATGTTCAGTCATTTCTTTCTGAATGCAACCTAATGCTGTCCATTTTCAAAATAGCTTGTTGTTGCAGTTTTTCTACACTGTCAGGTTTCTTCAAACCAACAAAGGTTTGTCACACTCCAATCATGAAGTTTCCCACTTTATAAGAGTGTAACAAGCCTGGGATAATAATTGCTGTTCATTACTTACCATCATCTCTTGTGTCCAAGAAATGCAAATTAGCCAGCATTAGTCAACCCCTGCTATTCAAATGCATCACTAGTAACCCCCCCCCCCCAATGATAGTCACAATTTCTCCAAATGACCAGTTCATCAAGCACCACTCAGGTTCAGGGCAGCAAACTAGAGAAAAGACAGTTGGCATCCACTGCACCAGACACACCCTATATGTTGACTCCTTTCTCTTCTATAATATAAAGATAGTGTAGTTTACACAATAATAAAAAATATATCAACAAGATAATAAAACAATATCAATAGATTACACAATACAATCAAAATAAGCATTAGCAATATATCCAATATAGCAAATGTTATTTCCACTATTTACATCCAGACTATTGTCCTCATCTTTGTTATCACAAGGTCACCATCTGAGACGAACCCCTTTTGGTCTCATTGTCAATTCATGTATACACACCATTGCCTTATCTCCCCACTTCCTACATGACAATAAATTTACATCTTTCTTTCTCCCACTCTCTATATATGACTTCATGTGTATAGTGGCAAACACACAAGCAAGCAAGCAAAGTTCACAGTTTTAGTATTATAAAAGATATGATCTCTGAGACAACGAGTGCTCAGGATTTTTTCTCACACAAGTTTATCAGCTGTGTAACCTCAGAGTGATGAAATGAATGGGTTTTCACTCACCACTCTCCCACATGAAGCTCCAAATCATGTAGGGAGCATATGCAGGCATATAAAAGCTCCAAAAGATCTCACAAAAACTCTGAAACAAAAAAATGAAGAAAAAGACCTAACAAAATTTCCAACATTCATTGTGTTGGAATCCACCAAAAATAAACCAATCACAAAAGTTTCTCCAATCCATAGAAATGATATTATCAAACGAGATATCCCCTAAAATGGTAAAAAAAAAAAAAAAAATATACAAAAATTACCCACTTCTAGTTGAAGTGAGAAATAGAAGTGACTCAGAAACCCTTGTTAGGATAAGGCATTTCTGTGACACTAAAATTAAAACCTTCCAAAATTAATTCCTAAACTCTTCAAAAGGAGTAATTTAATTAAATGTTCAGTGCTTTCTCTGTGCTCAACAGAGGAATTCAAAAACAGAAGCCTCATAAAACAAGGTATAAAAGACAAATATAATTCAAATAAAAAAACCCACAATATACACCAATGTCTACATCATAACATTTTACAGCCCTAAAAACATAAACCAAACAACAAAAACAACTCAAACCCAATTGTTGAAGAATGGAAAAACAGCAGAAGAAATTTCCTCCACCAAATGATCAAAAGAAAGCCTACATAAAAAAAAACTCCATCTTCTACAGAAGAAACAGTCCAAGTAGCAACCATAAAGAAGAGATCTTCAAAGAAGGAAACATCAAACCAAGGATCCCAAAATTAATCAGGACAATGTCCTGCTTCCAAATAAAACAAAACAAACAAAACAATAGATTATCTTGATACTAAAAACTGACACAAAGTGGATGATAATCTCCAAATTATGGATAGAATGGAAACAAATGATGGTTATCCCTCTACAAAGCTTAGTCAACAAAATAAACATGGTCTAAACAAATAGGATTTTTAAAATTTCTGCAACATTACTTTTACCTTATGCTCACTAGATGACATCCTGGCATTTAAAGTCTGATAAGTCTAAGGTTGTATTTACCATAGTCTCTCCACTGAGACTTGATGTGATGCAAGGTTGGGTTTAATGTAGGGAACCTGAATCTTAACCCGAACATGTACACACCATAGACAGAGCCACGACTGAGTTACACTCTGCCTGAAGACACATGTGCAACTGAGAGATGATAATCCTACCCATAGTGGGCCTAAAGTGAAAATATATGTTGCCAAGATATTCTAGTGTAAACTTAGGAATCAACACTGCATCATGGCTGTCACTTTTACACTTCAAGCAATCTTCACACTATGTATTACTACTTTCAAGCGCTCTCTCTCTTTCTCATATATATATATGCCACATGGTTATTAAGGGATGTGGGGGAAATAGTAAACCAGCATTTTCGGTCCTTTTGTTTAGGGCTAATGCTTTAGGTTATTTAGTCATGGCCTTTAATTTACTTATTTATTTCTTTTAAATTTATATATTTGTTTTTTTAATTTTTTTTTGTATATTTTCTTTAGTTCTAAATTGAAGTAAAATTTATTAGATTTAGATTATGGGCTTTTATTATTTTTGAGCATTATATGGTTGTAGATAACATTGTAGGAACTTATTTTTGGGTTTGTACTTTGAAATGAGCTCTTATTTTTTGTTTAGATAATAGACAAAATATTGGTGCCCATCTCAAAACACAAAAATAAATCTTTTTATACTTTGTATAATGATGAATTTGGGAGAGTCGGTTCATAAATTTGAGAAAAACTTGTCATTGAGAGTTGTTCAGTTGAACTTTATCTTTGTATTGCTTTTGTTGTTACCATGTTTTCGGGTGAGTCATTCTACAGCTTTCAAAACCACAGTCCACAGGTGTGGTCTCCTTTCTTCAGAAAATGGTCTATTTTCTAGAGATAGACTCTTGCCTCTTTTCACGCAGACTGAACACCCTAAAAAAGACATAGAACAAAACTTCCAAAATGTGACAATAAATGTAGCACAAAGTTTGGAGAACTGTTGTAACTTGGAAGAGTTGAAATTTGTACAGTTAAGATGACTTTTTTAATTTTTCTTCTTAATTTTCTTTTTTAGTCTGATGTCTGGGCACTTGGCTGCTGTGTGTATGAGATGACAACACTGAGACATGCATTCAATGCCCGAGATATGAACTCCTTAGCATTTAAGATTCTCAGTGGTAAGGTAAGTGCTTTCATGTCAGGGTTCAGATTTAATTTTTTTAAAGCAAATATTTTGAATAAATTATAGAATTAATCTTACTTATTATAAAACGCAAGTTGTGTGTGTGTGTGTGTCTGTAACGTTTATATGTTGGATCGAATTTCCTACATTTTTTAACCGATTTCAACAAAACTTCACAGGACTACATAAAATTACCTTTTGGTGGTTCTAACAGTGCCGAAAATGGGAAAAACACAGTTGTTTTTTAAGAAAATCAATTTGAAAACATGATTAAAAAGACACATCGTGAGAATGAAAGGGGGACAACTCACCCATGAAAATGTAAACAAAAGAGCATAGCATGATGAAAAAGATGCTGAACTTGACGAAAACAAAATTTTATCGTCTAATGTTCATATTAAAGAGGAAAGATCAAAGTATTTTTGGGGTATTTTTTTACATTTTTAATCGTTCTAGCACGTCTGAAATTTTGTTAAAAATATTGTTGTTTTTTTTTTTTTTTTTTTTTTTTTGGTCAAAAAAAAGGACAGATAATCATTTTCAATCATTTTTTCGATTTGATAAAAAAGATTAAAATCTTACTTTGATATTCTTTTAAAAATCAATTATCATTTTTTCAAAACTGATTTTAATAAAACAGATATTATACTGTTTATTTAAAATATTTTGAACCAAGCTTAACTTAGCTTCTCTTGAAAAAATGTAATTTGAAAATAAAACAAAGCCGGTCATAACCTTTCGCGTAAACTTGACGCGATTGACGAAAAGGCACATTCATGACGTTTAGATAACTTACGGAGAGTAATTCTTTCTACAGATGGAAGGAAGTGAAATTATTTAAGTGAACAAATTATTTGCCTTGTTACTTTTAAGGAAAACTTTCAGCGCTCTATTTTTTTTTTTTTTTTTTTTTTGTATTTAGCTTTCATTTTTACGTTTACGATGCTTTATGGAAAATATAAAGAAATTAAAAATAAGACTGTTAATAGCGAGATTAAATTTCATAAGAAAAAGGTATCTAATTAATTTAGGTACCTTTCTTATGAAATTTTATCAGAAAGTGTACATAAAATACTATAATTTTATGTACATTTATTACATTTTACTGTGTTATTTGTATTTCCATTCATTTTATTATTAATTTTGATATTTCATTTATGGAAAAATGTCATAACTGAGATTAATATAAAAAATAAGATCATATAAATTAAAGTTTAGCAGTAGTTAAATTTCATAAGATGATACTGTTACTTGTAGGTACCCTTCTCAGTTGAAATTGAAAACTCAAATTAACTTCTCCATACGTGTTTTCGCAAAAAGTAAAGGGCTTAACAGCGGAGAACAATGCTGAACTCAAATAATGCAACTAAATTGTATTCTGGTTGGTCTTCCGTGCTTGATAATTACTGTCCGACTATAAACACAAAAATTACATTTCTTAATTACCATGGCTAATCTGATTGGTCCAAATTATACAATTTTCAAAGCACTAGACAATGACAATCTCACACGGACATTTTGAAAGGTTGATGTTGCATTTAACTAATGTTAAAATATTTTTTAAAATTCAATTTAAACATTTTTTAAAAATCTTTTTAAAATTAAAGAAATAAGAAATAATTGTATAAAAAATTCAATTTTCATTGAAAAAATTTTTTGCTTCCAGAAAATATTGTCCATATTCATAAAAACAAATTAAAACAAATAAAAGCATTTGAAACTAAATAATATATTTGTTTTATTGAGTTTTGTATGTTACAATTCACAGCTGATTTTCAGGTACGTTGGCCTGAACTATTAACTATTGTAATCACTAAAACCGATGGTCTCGAATTTCTAGAGTTTTTCATAAAATTAGTTATGGGGGTGTTAATAAATATAAAAAAAATATTTCTGCCATGACTTTAATAAAAAAAACAACATATTTATAATAATTTCGATCATCTGTGAATAGTTTCTGAAAGTTTCATTAACATCTGACAATTATTTTTATTTTTGCAAGATTTTCCAAATTAATGTGTGTAAATACTAAAAATTATCTATGTTATTTACTACCCCTTGTTGCGACAAAAGAAACAAGATTTTTAAATCAAAATTTAGAATATTCTAAAAAGATGGAAAAATTTTTAAAATAATTAAAAAAAATTTAGTCTATCCTCTTCATAAAAACATAAACATTTTGACGATAAAATTTTGTTTTCATAAACTTTAGCGTCTTTTTCATCAGACTATGCTCTATGTTTTAGCGATTCCGTGGAGTGACTTAGGTTAAAAAACCCAGGTTGTTTGTGTGTGTGTCTTCCTTTATATATGAGATCAGATTTCTTACATTTTTCATCCCATAAAACAAACATCCACTTTTTTTTTTGGCAGGTAGTATTTCTTATTGTCTTGCACACTTTTTTCTTTATTTACATTCAGAATGCTTTAAAAATTCCATTTACAAGACAATTGTTTATAATAAAATTCTATTCACCAATCGATAGACTCATAACGATTGTAAACAATGTTTTTGTTTGAGTTTGACCAATTCGTAAAAAAAAAAAAAAAAAAAATGCCTGTCCGTCAACCTTAAACAATAATCTTTGTCAATTTTATTTTTCAGTCTTTATGATGGTCGATACTTGATCTATCTCTTACTGTTACATCCCCGGGCAACGCCGGGCTCTACTGCTAGTATTGTTTAAAGCATTTGATAAGAATGGAGTATAATTTATTGAGTGGAGTATCTATATGCTCTATGGGTTATTGTGTGGGATGCTCAGTTAATATTAAGAATTCTCCTTGCTCAATAAGTAAAGAGAATTGTTCATAGCATTCAGACAAGACTGCAGATAAATGTATGCATATCCCTCTCTCAGATACACACACACACACATTTGAAATTTTGTTATGCAAAGGTTTTTATGTCCTGAAGAGACATAGGCAATTCATGGCTCTCCACAATTTGATTTTCTTTTTATGCAAATTACTATGACTGTTGTGAAAAGTGGAGTGGTTTCCTATTGCTTTCTCCATTGTTTTGGATTCAAAGTTTTCCTCCTTGATTGGTTGCCAACTAAAATTCATGAGTTTAGTCTCCCTGCTGGGGAAGACAGAATACTGCTGTTAGAGAAGGTTTCCTCTTTAGTATTTCATTACAAGTTTACTTCAGATTTAAATTTTGGCTTATGGCCATATAACGTTGAAGTACTGATTTTCGTACAATCACTGAATTTAAACAACATTGAGCCTGGTCAGTACCTAGATGGGTAACCACTTGGGAATACCAAGTACTGTAAGCTTGGATGTGTGTTTATTGTAATGGATAACAGCTTAGAATTGGAAATTAGAGAAGCAAAGTTTCAATTTCAATCAGGCTCATTATATTCACTTATATGCAAATACTCTTGGGAACAGTATAAATCCACCCCATTTCTCCCCATCTATGGGTTAATTAGTAGGACCTGAATCAGTAAATCATTATTATTTCAAAAAAATTCTTACAATCAAAAATGCTTTCTGGCTTTAAAATAACCTAGGTGCTAAGCCAAAAAAAAAAAAAAAATTTAAATTTTCTGTCAAAAAATAGGAAACTTTTTGATTAAATTTGTTTTCATTTTGGTTTAAAATAAAATCTGCACTGTAATTTTTATCTTTGTAATATTTCCATCTGTGAAAATGTAATTGTCATCTTTATTCCAGCTGCCTCCAATGCCCAAGCTGTATACAAATGAATTGGTCAGCCTTATACAGAGTATGTTGCATCAGGATCCATCTAAGCGACCATCAGTAAACAAGCTTCTCAGGTTACCTTATGTCAAAAGAAATATTGCTCTTTTCCTTGAAGAAACTCGACAAAAGTAAGTCACTTCATTTTGTATCTATGCACAAGCTTTGTTCTTCCCTTTACACACTTTTTGTGTAGCATTTTTTAACTTCATACACAGCAGTTAAAAGAACAACAATGACTGTGATACTTAAAAGAAACAATGTTACCAGGTGGGCAATTGGTAGCAATGTTGTGAATTTTGTTGATATTGGTATAGAATCCCAGACTTTGAACTCTTATTCTTCTCTGTGCCAAAAATCATCTGTTCTTTTGTCTATCATCACCATTTTGTCTCTACATCTCATTTTTTGCAACTTTCCTCACTTTCCAGCTTTGTCAGAGTGCAAAATTGCTTACACGACCCTGTGGGTGATGGATTATTTTTGACCTGATAGCCTTTTTCCCAACAGACGAAACATCACAAGCTTATCGCTATTTCTATGGCAAATGTTTGTGCCATCTACATTCCTGAATTCCACCAGTTCAAACCTTTACAGTTAGGACCTGCCATGCCACATACACAGGATCAAACCATCCTCATCATCTTCATATTCCATTAGCAAGAAGATTTCATTCAGATTCTTCCAGAGAACCACTACTTTGTGTAATGGACTCCCAAGAAGATATTTCTCCAAATACTAAAATCTTAATCTCTTAGTCTTGGATCAACCATTATCTATCCTACATATCCTCATAATCTGCACTTACTTCCTCTTCTTATGTCCATACAACAACTTCATTAACCCTCTATTTTGAGTCGCTCTTGGACCTTGTATTGAATTGTTAGTGTTAAGAAAAGAAAACTGGTTACTCTTTCTTTGCTCTCTCTCTCTGATCTTATTGCCATGATATTACTGTAAAGGCAAAAAAAAAAAATCTTTAACTTCATTTCCTTTACCCCTTCACTTTTCAACGTTTCAAAATCAATGTGAATTTGGTTTAAAAATATGTTTTCATACTTTTGAACTGTATTCACAGCTCTGAGCCCAATGTTATTTTAGGCTGTGGGTTATTTTGCCTCGTTCTAGTTTCCTGTTTGTACAGTTTTTATACATTTGCTCCATAGGCAAGCCAGTAAATCAGTGATGGTCATAATATGGCCACTATTGATTAAGTACTTTTCAATAAGAATCAGACATTAATACAACAGGTTATTTAGTACAATGTCCCTTTTCTGTTGATGTGGGAAATTATATTCCTCGGAATGGCATGTAGTAGTTTTGGTGCAATGTTAGATAGTCTAAGTGATTTGATAGAAGAACAAGTCTTACATGATATATACCATATTCAGTTGTCTCTGAATAAACAAACAGAAGTAGATTAGTCTGAAATACTAGAGAAAGTCTTCTGTATTGGTTAATAGGAATACTTATGCATAAAACTATGGGGGATTAAGTAATGTAATCATAGAAAGGGGATGCCAGGTAGAGTGACTTGTTTTAATGAATCTCTTAAAGTATAGCATCTTATACAAAAGTAAGTATTAAATGTATACGAGCTTGCTTAAGCTGTCACAAAACACCTTGGGCAAGAAGACTTGTAAGAAGTTGTGCTTTTTATATGTAGGATGTAAGCACTAAGGTTATTTTAGTTTACGATATAAATCACTATCAGGAATCTTGAAAAGTTCATTGTAAACACTAGTAGGTAATTTAACTTTTAGATTCTTTCTTAAAGAAACAAAATTAGATCTAGTTTTGTTTCTCATTTAGTGATCATTTCCTAAGCTAAAATGTTGGCTTGTCTGCTGCGATCTTGTATCATTTCTATCTAGAATGTATGAAATAGGGAGTTTTTTTAATTGATGAATTATTGTTTCTACTGGAAATAAATAAACAAAAAAAATGTGACTGAAGTCAAGATTTGTAGGCACAACATTTTTGTTAGTAATAAATTACAGGAAAAAAATAAAGATTGATGTTTTGGAAGGAAGGATTTTAGACAAGAATAAAAACAATGTGAAATAGTGGGGTGTGGAGGGTTCTTTTTTTCTTTCTTTCTTTCTTGTCATGCTTTTATGAGGAGGTGCTGAAGTTTTCATCCTGATTCACTTGCCAAAATTTGACCAAATGACCAAGCTGCAGGATATTTTTAAAATCCCTTTTTGGTATAACTCTGCATCTCTTCTGATTGGATTAAGACTAGTTTTTATTTCTAATAAAATAATTGAAACCTTAATCTCAAATATTAAAAAAAATAAAAAAGTTAATGGCCTTGCCTTGTTCAGTATAATATTTAATGCTTTCAATGTTGCTCTTAAATTTAAGTTATTATTAACAGAAAAATTATAAAAAATACTTTACATTATTTTTGCATTTACTTTGAGGAGTTTTCATATTTTTTTTATCTGTGTATTTTCAAATTATTGTTAATTTAATTTTTACATTTTTTTGTATTAGATAATTCACTTCATAGAAATGTATATGTCCTTAGATTTCTATTTGCATTGTTTAAAAATATACAATAAACATTATTTAATTATTTTGCCATCACAGACTCTCTGCTCAAGACAATCTGTTCTATTATGTGTAACATGATTTGACTTTATTGCTCACACAGTCTGATCTCCCCTTCTTAGTACTGAGAAATTCCATTGTTATTGGCATTATTCTATTCTAATAAACAAACATTACTATAACAACAGAATATCTCATTTGTAAGTAGGGGAGACCAGACACCTAATCACTTTTTACTTTTGTCTCATGTTATCCTTTTTTGGATATTTTTACTATTTTATGATATAAAAAGAATTGTTTCTTACATAAAACAATAGTTAATTGTATCAATAAGAATCCTAGATTATTTATGCATAAAATATAACCAATACAATTGCAAAATTACTTAACTATTACCATCATCTTTTAATAGTACAGGTATACTAATAATCTATATAAAGGAGAAATTAAATTTAGTTAGTGAAAATATGATAATAGCTTTATTGTTGTACTTATTTAAATCCTGCGAATGTATGGATATATATAATTGTAGTTTTTTGGATTAAAATACCATAATTGGCTCAGGTTGTATATTATTTATATTACCCTTTAGCAGCAAATCCACCCAAACCTGGCCCGTAAATATCAGTTCTCAATGTTCAACCGGCTGTAACCATCCCCATGTATACTCTGTCATAATATATGACAGCATTATCACAAATAATGAAGAAAGTCATGGAAGCAGTGAGACTTTGAGAACTGATATTTATGGGGTGGGTTTGAGTGTGTTGAATGCTAAAGGGTTAAAGAAAGTAAAAATTAAAATATTGTAGTTTTCCACTACAAAATCTTGCAGTTCTAGAATTTAGCAACACTTTTCATTGGCCCCAAGCATTATTTTCAGGTACAATGCATAACAGTTTCAGTGAAGTGCATAATCTTTGAACTTTACAGTGTTCAGGTACTTCCCATCAGGTGCCTTAGCAGAGTGAAACCTTTTGTGAGTTGGTCACTTAACAGAATGCAAACTTTATTTCATACAAGATGGTAGAATAGTTTTAAATTATTTGAACTCTGTGATGGACTTAACACCAGTTCTTATTTGATCATTGAAAACCAGTGTCAAGCATGGATAGTACTTGAAACCACTTGGAAACACCAGCTTCTGTAAGCAAAAACAGTACAAAATCTGTTGGCCATGGGGCTAGCAACATCATTCTATGAAAACTTGCTATGGAAACCCCAGCAGTGACACCTAGTGTTGTTGTGAGCTGTGGCCCCATACTTCTCAGTGGAGTCTATGGGATTAAAGGAGGAGGAGGAGGAAGGACAAGACTATTGCTGCTGCTACTACTAGGTAGTAAGCACAATATAGCATAAATTATCAAGGAAATGGAATAGAATTATAACTTGTGATCCAGGTCCTGTTTAGCCACTAAGCTTCTGTAGCTAAATTGGTTAAGGCTTCACCTATGTAAGATGAGCTTCCAGGATATAGGATGTTAGTTAATGTATATGAAGCTACTTCTTTATTTCAATTTGCAGCTTATTTTAATGGTCAGAGGGTATTTAGCATAAAATGCTATGATAAAAAGCAACAATATGATGGAGAAATTAGTACCAAAAATTAACAAGTATTGGGATTCCTTGATATTCCAACATTCATCATGACATTCCAGGTTGCTAGTATGAGGAGCCACATAAAGAAAAATTTCCATTTAATACACCATCTATTTTTTGTTTTATTATTTTTCTAGTCGCCGTCTACTTCCTCCATCGCCAGGTAAAGCCCTGAAATCTGTACCTACATCGTCTTCCTCATCACCCTCATCAGTTCCTTCTAGCAGCAGCAACAACCGAGAAAGACGGAAAAAGAAACTAACCTCTGGTGATGACCAGCTCGATAGTGGAAGTGTCAAAGCATGTTTAGATAATGAAAGTCCAAATGAAGACAATATAAAGAGTCCAAGTGATGATGGCTTAGTCCACCCAGAAGAGGAACCTAAGTCTCCCCAACCAATAGCTGCATTTCCCTCTAGTGTACCCTCTGAGGAAATTTTTGAGTCCCCCAGATCCAGTGCCTCATCATCATCCACGGAGTCCAGTTTAAATGAGTCTTCATCTACTTTGGCCAACAGTGAGAATCAAACACAAGATACAGTCATTGCAAATACTATTGTACAGGTCAGCATTTTTTTTTTTTTTTTCTTATATATACACAAGAAAGTGATATCATTCCTTGGAGTAGCGATACTGCCAGAGATTTAGTTTTTAATTTGGCTGCTCTTCTCCCAGTAGCAATAATATTAAAGGAGGAAACCTTTTATGCACTATTTATACGTAGACCACCTTAAAATAAGTAACCTAAAGTACGAGATGTATATTTTTATATAATGATTTTTAAATGTTTTTACAGATTATATTAGAAGAAATAAAATTAGTTTTTGATACTTTCTATAATTTTCAAATGATTATAGACGATTCATTATCATGCCAAGAATTCTTAGAACTGTTAATATTTTTTTCTATTTTTGTCGTTACTACATTGCACTTCTGAGTAAGGATGGAACAATCTGTTGTGTCTACCAATCTTTTTTAATTTTGTAAACATATTGTCAACTGGGACTCGAGTTCAATCCAAACTTCAAGTAGAATTCTTATAAATGATCCTTGGCTAAAGATACTGGAAAAAATGGTTGGTTCACTGTACCGCTCAGAAAGTGCTTGACTCTTTCTGCCATGTTTTATCGTTACAAGAGTCAGATGAGACCAAAAACGGAGTATTGCTGACAAATCTGGGCTGGAGCTACCTGATCTTCACTTTCCAGCCTTGATAGTCCAAAGTCATTTAGGTGACCTTTTTGAGGATGATTTATTTTCCACGCTGCATCCGCTTTCCCCACAGACAACATTGCAAGCCTGTCACTACTCTTTCACCTATTTCCATGGCAACTGTTTTGACGAGCTTCATTTCTTAATTCCACCATTTCAGATCTTCACAGCTAAAACCCACCTTACTGCATCCACAGAACTGAACCATCCTGACTGCATCCATATTCCATTTGTAAGGAAGAAGTTCCACTAAGCGTTTTCCTAAGAACAACCTCTTTGTGAAACAGTCTTCTGTGTGAATGTTTCCTTGAATGCTACAATCTTGACATCTTCGAGTCAAGGGTCAATTGTTACTTATCCTCCATATTCACCTAATCCACACTTCCTATTACTTTCATGTCATACACCTCATTCAGTAACTGTCTACACTGAGTGGCTCCTGAGCCTTGTATTGGGTGAACATTAGTAAAATATAAACAGAAGAAAAAATGTTGGCAAATATATTAATCACTCACTCATTATATCAATCCTCACAGTATCTTGTGTGATGTAGATAATTCCATATTTTATTTGCAGGGTTGCCCTTCAGTCCTTTTCTTGTTGAACTAAGAAATCTACCCTAACCTGACTTGTACAATTTTCAACATGGCTAATGTATACAGCATTGAATTTCCTCACCTTCAGTGATATACCCAAGATATTACTTTAACTTTATCAGCAAAAAATAAATAGAATGGGATTATTAGTTTGAACAAATTTTTATCTTGATAAAGTTTATTTTTCAATAATGGTAAGAGGGTATGATAAATAAATCTACATATCTGTATAATGAAGAAAAAAATCATTTTTTACTTTTAAACAAAACAGGAAAATGTCATATTTTTTTTTGTCTGTTTTTAATACAATAATGATTAAGTTATATTTTTCTTTCTTTGTTTCCCTTTTCTTTTTATTTTTTTATACATTTCTCCATACTGGTACATACTTCAATGGCATATTTTCCCTACATTTTTACACATGATGTATTCCCCCACACAGTTTCTATTTGTATATACATCAATGTCATGTTCCCTGTTGTCTATTCTTCAGTCTGTCACTCATTTTACTCAGTACACATTGCAAAAAGTTCAAAATATCAAAACTTTACTTGAAAAATTCATCAAGTAAAAACTGTAACCATTTTTATAATATACAATTTAACTGAAAGTCATAGAAATCTTGGTAAAATTAGCATTTTACCAAGCTTGATAATTGAATAATAATGTTATGCATGTTTATAAATACAGATTTGGCCAAAAACAAAGATCTTTGAAAGTTTTGCATCAATTAATAATAGTCTAATTCAATAGTTTTTTTTTATTCATTTACTTAATGGGCTTTACACTAGTATTTGGATAGAAAAGCATATCTTGCTTTCTTTGTTAGGAATAATATTGAATTATTAACTTTTGCCATTCTTTTATTTTTCAGCAACCAAAATTAGAAGATAAACAAGTAAAAGTCCCAAAAAAGGAGCCAGTCAAATCGAGATCATTGTCTTTTGGAAATTCAGAAGCATTAAGTGAACATATTTCTGTCATAAAAGTAATTTATTCTGTTTTTTTTTTTGTTTTTTTCTTTACCTTTTTATGAAAAAATCATCTAATATTCGTTGAATTTTTTTTTTCAGCTTATCAATTCTTTGCAGGTTATTTTAAGCCAGAAAATATTTTTAGATTGTAATAATTTGAGTGGGTAGATAATGATGATTTTACTGATACAAGTTCTACTAACCTGTAGCTGGTGGGGGTGGAGAATTGGTAGATTCATATTTTTCACAAGGATATTTGTGTGTAAGTGAATATAACAAACTTGACTGGAATTTAAACTCGGCTCTCTGATTTCCAATTTTGCGCCATTATCCATTACACTAGCAGAACATGCAAGCTTACACCACCAGTCCCCACTCCCCCCAATCAAGGTACTGACCAGGCTTGACATTGCTTAACTTAAGTGATCATATGAGAACCAATTTTGCAACATGATATGGCTGTAATCCCAATTATTATTGAAAGAATAATATTAGTTTTCTGAGGATATGAGTTACTTGACTGATAATTTTTGGATTTTAATAACCATGGATCTTCATTTCAAAATTTAGATTTCAACCTGTACATGCCATATAAATTGATTCCATTTTTTTTTCTTTTTTAAATCATTTCATGCCAAGCAAAGCAATAAAGCCACTAAGATGCAATGGGTTACTGAATGTGAGAGAATGAGAAAAAATACTAAGGAAAGAAAACAAGAATTAAGAAAACAGAAGATAATGATTGACATTGCATTTAAATTTTTGAAGATCAAAATTGACTGGAAAGCAAGAAGCCAAAAGAGTTCCACAAGCAAGAGGTTCAAGAGAAGAAACTGTTAGCATAAAATTTAGGTAAACATCTAGCCATTTCAACTTTAAAATGATATATTGCCACCAATCTGGTAGTACACTTAAATTCATAAAGTCTAGGTACCATAGCAAAAAGTTCATCAGAACAATTACCATGAAAGTATTTATAGAAAAGGCACAGGAAAGCTAGGTTACGTCAGTGGGAAAGTAACTGAAGCTGAGGTCAGGACTGATAATATTGCAGATTCTTCTTTGGATTTTTTCAAGAATCTCTAAATACATGGCAAAAGTACCAGACCAGATATGGCAGCAATATTTAATGCATGGAGAAATGGTAGATTTATAAATGTGTAAAAATAGATTAAGAAAAATAACTTTCCTAGCAGTAGACCTAGCAATTGATTCAATATAATTTATCCACTTCATTCCTCTTACAATTGTAAAGGATAGTTTTAATTGTTTCAGATATTGAGATGTACATTGTGATAATGAAAGGAAAACTATTAGTATTTTTTTTATTAGTATTTTATAATATTTTTGTTATTTGTATTGCAACTTTGATATATAATTATTTGATGATTACTAATTATGCAGGACATAAGTTTATTCTTTTGTTTCTGAGTTATGCTGTTTAATGATCATAGCATAATGATCTGGAAATTGTAATAAAAGTAGCACAAATCAGATAAATCATAAATTTCTGTGTCCCATGTCACTTCATGTTGTTGGTGTTCATGGCTCTCTACAATTTCCTGTCTTTTGTAGCTCTTAGTAAATGTTTTCTTTTTGCTATCTCTCATAAACACTGTTCTGCCAACCATTTACACAAGCTCATTAGGTAGGTTATGCACTGTTTTCCTCTGTTCCTCTTGCCTTCAATATATCCTACGTGTGTTAAATTTTCGAACCCTCTTTCCTCATTATGTGCCCTAGAAATTTCAGTTCTCTTTTTCTGATGTTGTTGCTCACATGTTCAGTCCATGATATTCTCAGCATCCTTCTGTAGAACCACATTTCAGGTTTTTCAAGTCTTCATCTGTGAGGATCTTTGTCCAGTATTCACTGCCATATAGGAGGACTGATATCACATAACACTTCAGTACTCTTTTCTTTGTTTCTAACAAAGTTTTCTTGTTAATACTTTGCTTAGCTTTTGGAAGGCACTTTTGCTATCCCAATATACCTTCAGATTTCGGTGTCACATTTTCTGTTCTCTGTTAAAGTACTTCCCAAATATTTAAATTTTTGTATTTGCCACAAATAATGAATCCTGATAGGACTTCTAATTCTTGCAACATAATCTCCCTGTATAGGTTGAATAAGTCTAGTGAGAAAACATGTCCTTTGTCTTTTCTGTTTTTGTATATTTACTGAATTCATTTTCTATCCATGTGCAGTTTGTTTACTGCTTGTATAAGTTCTGGATTACTCTAATCCTTCCCAAGTATGTCACGGTTACCTAACAGTTCCAACAGATCTTTGTGACATACTTTGTCAAATCCTTTTGCATATGCTACAAAACATAGATCTACTTTTTTTTTTCATTTGTATTTCTGAGCATAAATATTATATTCCTTGTTCCAGAAACTAGTCTAATAACTGCTCTTAACACATCAGGAGTATCTTTGTCTGACTTTCCATTTAGAACCATGTCTGTGCTGTGAGATATGCATATAACTCTGCCCATGGTTTCCCAAAAAAAGCATTCAGACTCAATGGTATCCCTGCAATTGTCCTTAGGAAATGTACTCCTGAATTGGCCTGTGTTTTCTCTAAGCTCTACAGTAGGCGTGTTGCTGTTTCTTGCTTTCCAGCTTGTTAGAAATCCAAATTCTCTTCTGTAGTTACTATTTTTAAGAACTCTGGTGAATTGGCTGATCCTTCAAGCTATCAACCTATTAGTCTCTACCTCTTTTTGGAAAAGTACTAAGTCAAGGGCTCTATTCAACTCCAAATTGGTTAAACATCTTACTTTGATAAACCATATGGCTTTCACTTCTCTAGGTTAACCACCAGTGTGGTGATAGCTGTTACTGAAAGAACCTGTCAAACTTTAGATAAGTGAAACAAAGCTTGAGCTGTTACATTGGATATTTCAAAGCCATTTAGCAGCGTTTGGCATGCTGGTTTTCTTCACAAGTTGAAAGGTTATGGTATTTCTGGAATTATGTTAAATCAATTATAGGTCTGCTGGTAGGAAAGTTGGTTCACTGTGTCGTACTAGACAATTTTACTTGCCAGAATCTATCTTATACATTTATAAGTCTACCATTTGTCTATACATCAAATATTACTGCCACATCTGGTCTGGTGCTTTTAACTGTGTATGTCAGATTCTTGACAAAATCCAAAGAAGAATCTGAAACGTTATCAGTTTTGACCTGGCATCTTGACTTCAGTTACTTTCCCACTACCATAATGTAACTTTTCTATGAAAATTTTCATGGAAAACTGTTCTAATGAGCTTTCTTCCTTGATACTATGACCACATGAATTTAAATGCACTACTAGACTGGTAACTAGATTGTATTGTTTTACTACTGAACTAATTAGATGCAACTGTAAGTTCTATTTTAATAGTTTATTTCCTCACCCCTCTCATCTGTGGAACTCACTTCTTGCTTCCCTGCTACCTACATTCTTCAAAAATTTAAATGCAATGTTAATTGTCATCATTTGTCTTTCTAAATTTTGTTCTTTTATTGTCCCATCTCCTCACTAATTTCTTCTCATTTTTTTTTACTCTCACTAACCCTTTGTGTCTTAGTGACATTATTGCCTTAGTTGGAATGAAATGATTAAAAAAAAAAATTAATTTTATAATTGTTTATTTCTTTGACACTATTGAATCAGTAATTAATAAATATTAAAAAAAAATCCTTTTATTGTGATTTGTGTAGGAGCATTAGTCATCCATGATATTTTTATATTAAAATTCCAAACATCTAAATGTCCAAATACTAATAAAAGAAAAATGAAGAAAATATGCGTATGTCTGTTAAATAAATAATCTGAATTTACAAACATGGATACAAGAATTCAAAAGAGTTAAGAAGTATTAAAAAATAGCCTTTTGTTGAGTTAGTCTTTGGGTAGTTGATTGCTGTGGTTTATACAATACTTTTAAATAGTTGGTCTACATAAAAAAAAGCTGTGGTTAAAAAAAGGCTTTTATTGTTACTGAAAATTCACTGACCATCTTTGTTGTTGGAGACGATTTGTTTGAAGTCACTTACACATATTTCAATCAGCATTTACTGAGGAGAGACCATTGTGCCCTCTTTTGTTTGACTTGAAAAAAGCTGCTTTTATGATCTTTGAAAGTTGAAAATCTGCTTTTATTAGAAATTTTTCCTGAAAATAAGCTCAAGAAAAACAGGTTTTTATTTTTCTCTGATTGGTCTAATATTTCACATGGTGATGTTAATTTCTAACCAATAGACACTTTGATTTAAACAATGTATTGCGGAATCTTTTTGGCATGTTTATAATATTGGGTATGTTTTAATATGGTATGTATGTGGGTTTGTAACTTGTTTTTGGAAATAGGGTTTATTTCTTATGCAGGGTGCGATGGATAAATTGTCTAAATTATGCAAAAATGAAAATATCACTGACATCTCATTTTAACAGATATATTTACTAAAATTGTACAAAAACATCTTGAAATACTAAGAGTAAATTTATTCAATAAAATTGCCATTGGCTTCAACCACAATCTCCTGATGACTTCAGAATCTCCTGCAGCTCTTCTGGACAGTCTCCTTGTTTAAGTTGGTGAATGCTGCCATAATCCTTGCCTTCAGTTTATCTTCGGTGTTACAAGGAGTTTTGTTGGTCTCTCTGCACCTCACACATAACAATTAAGGGGGTTTCAGTCCGAGGAGTTAGGTGGCCAGATGAAAGGAGTGAAGTAGTCACAGAAATTGTCTGACAATCATGACTGGGTTCACCTGTTTGTGTAGCATGGTGCAAAGTCCTGTTGCTAGACTGTCTTCTAGCAGCCAACCTTTTGACCCAGGGCAGCACTACCTTCTCAAGGCACTTGGTGTAAACCTCTGTGTTGAGTCTGAGCCCTCACCAAAAATTTAGGAGTTCTTTTCTTAGAACAGTGAGTGAGTTTTCTGAGCAGTCGTACCTTCATAATCACCATTAGACTCATCCAACTCTTTCCAAATCCTCTGCACTGTCCTCAGACACCTAAATACTCTGAAATGTTCATATTGGAACTTCCGGCATCAATGGTAAGCAGTACAGTATGCCATTTCCAAATTTCTGGCATGAATTGTGTCATGGTGGTCTTTTTTGCACAGACAATGCCATCAACAAAATCAAAAACAATGTGCAGAGCAAAATTAAAAATATAAAATGGCAACAATTTACTCAGCACACTCTGTAGATGAATATGATTATGACTATAAATCTTTGATTTTTGGTTAAATCACCAAAAGCTGTTGGTTGATTTGATCAGTGTAGCTCGGAAATAAAGTACAGCTTGTTATTGGCTGATCTAGTTCAGTGTCTTATTCATGGCTTCAATTACAAATTATATGCACATATAAATATTACTTTAGGGAGAACTTTTACAAAGTGGAAAAAGTTTTCTGTGACGTGTTTTGTCATTTAAGACTTCATTAGACTAAAATGATTTCTACATTGATGTGACTACACGCATGCTTGAAGATTTTAAATTTATTTTTTGGGTATGTAGTCTAGTGGATTTCATTTAGTTTCTTTTCCTTTTTGTTTATTGTGTCTAAATGTGGGATATTTATAACAAAAGTGATGATAACATTAACAAAAAGAAAAAAAATAAATGAAACCAGCTAGACTACATGCTGAAAACATATTTAAAAAAAAAAAAAAAAAATTTTTAATTCTCGGTGTCCCCTCTCCATGTGCATGTGTGGTCACATCAACATAGACATCAACTTAATCTGATGAAGTCCTAAGGAACAAAATGTATCACACAGAACCTTTTTCCAGTTTGTCATAGTTTTCCCTAAAATTGTTCTGATATATAAAATTTATATATCGTTTTCACATATTAATACTGCAAAAGTGAATTCATGCACAAATTTTGTTTACTAATAATGATTTAATCATTAATTTATTTTCATGATTTCTTTTTAAAGCCAAAGAATTCTATTGAGCGATCACGTCCATTACCGCCTCCTCCAAAAATTGACAATAGCAGTGGAGAACCCCAGCATGGAAGTAGTATTATGCCTTGGTCTTCATCAAGTTCCTCAAGTTCTAAAGAATGCAGTGCCAATCTTGGAGAAGGTGAAGCCCCAAAGGTAACTGTCACTTACTCTGTATAGAAGCAATTACAAGTGATATACACTGGGAAAGGTTTCTCTGGTCAAATTTGAAATGTCATTTCCTTAAGTGACTCTGTCATTTGGAGCTAAAAATTATCTGACCTTTTAATAAATGAACCAACCCACAAGGAACATTTGGTATGGTAAATATTTATATAGTTAAATTCCCAGATCAACTTTGTGGACAAGACAGATTGGTATAAAATGATAATTGGAAAAAAATCTTGCTTTATTTAATTTGGGGTGATATTTATTTATAATGTTTTTACAAATTTCCTTAATTTTTTCCTCTGCTCATATTTCTTTGTTTTTTTGCAGAGCCTGCCAAATGTCCTAGCACGTCAGAAAAGGCGAGCAAAGAAACAATCTGCCTCTTTCTGTAAGCTATGTTTAAATTTTGTTACCTAATGAGTTATTTCTACACATCACTACTTAAAATACATGATAATTGAAATATTTCTGATGCTAGAGCTGAGTTTGAAATCCAGCTGGGCTTGTTGCATCCATTTATGAGCAAATAACCTTGGTAAATGTATGAATCCATCTCTACTCCCCAGCTATGGGTTGAATAGGGTCCTATAGCCTTGGCTAGCAGCCAGTCTACTGCAGAAAGAAATGGCAACCTACTGTGGGGAAATCTTCTGCCTAGGCAGTCATGAATTGAAAGAGTCATGATCGCTCAAGCGTGTATCATGTATGGCACTTAATTGAATAAAAATACAGTGTAAATTTAAACATTAAATCTATTGAAAACAATATTTGGACAAAGGTTTTGTCATTTTAAAATTTAAATCAATTTTTAAAATCTGGTTGATTCTGCAATTACCTTTTCCAATGTTGAGCAGTTGCTACCAATTGACTACTTCTACTGTTGATGTCCTACTACCTTACTAACATAGGCAACTATAATCAACATTGACAATCATAATATTGTGACTATGAGTATTGAAAACTAGTTATATAAATCAAGTTCTGATGTTCAGGAAATATTCAAAAGTACAAGTATAAATTGGCAATTGCTAAGAAGAAATTATGCAACTTCTACAGTACTGATCAAAATAAGAGAATATATTCATATATTCTCAGTAATTACTACAGGATCTTGAAATTTATAGAAATCATAGCTCTTGATATATATTTCAATTTTAAAAAAGGTTTTTCAAAATTGGTTATACAGTGAAACACTGGTTTCCATATGATCACCAAAGTTAAAAAAACAAAGCCTGGTCAGTACCTTGATGGGTGACCACTTGGGAATACCAAGTGCTGTAAGCTTGGATGTGCAGGTGGTGTAATGGATAATGATTCACAATTGTTAATTGGAGAGCTGAGTTCCAATTCCAGTTGTGTTCATTATATACATTTATGTGTAAATACCCTTGGGAATTGTTTGAATCTACTTCCTCTCTCCCCACCCCCCAAGCTTTTGGGTTAGACGTTTTATCACTAAATCTTTATAATCTTCTACCAACCCCCAAAATTTTACAATCTAAAAATATTTTCTGATCAATTCTCCTGATGATTGAACAAATTTAGATTCAAAGCTTGTTCTCCACTACTAAAACTAACATAAGCAAAAAAATAAATAAATAAATGAATAAAAAGGACTAAACTAAAATATTCAGAAGAAAACATTATTTGGAAAGATGAGAATTGATCTAAATTTAATTTCAGCACTGAAAGTAAATTCAATTTAGTTGGTTTTTATGGCAAACATTTTGTTTGACATCATAAAGGTGACGAACTTAAACTAAAGTTTGTTAAAAAGTCTACATTTGGTGAGGGAAGTGTCATGTTATGGGGATGTTATTCTCTGAAAATGATAGATCTATTAAGAGAATTAATAGTACTTGTAAATGCTAATGTGTCTCTAAATCTAAACTTAATGAAGCAGCATCCCATTCCTTCTCCAGACATTTTTCAAGCAGCCAGACATTTTTATGCAGGGCACTGCTATGTCACACTGCTAAACAAGTCAGTTTTTTTTTTTTAAGAAGGAAACATTGCACAAAGTCCTGACGTAAATCCAATGGAGGATTTATGGATGATAATAGGAGACCAGATTAAGGATTGAAACCCAACCTCTGTAACTGATTAATGGAAAGAAATAACACCATATCTGTGCTAGAAACTTGCCATGTTTTGTGGGTGATGGTGTTCTGAAGTCATTGAAGTCACTAATATAGTAGTGAGAGGAGATTCATTTTATAAATGAAATTTTGAGGCTATTTACCTGTAATTTATTTTTCTCTAGTTAATCATTTCCTTTTCTTCTATTTTACAATTTAGCACTAGAAAGACCTGATTCAGCTAGAGTTGAATTAAAACGTCCAACTGTCATCCTAGCTCCAGCTATTGTAAACCATGAAAAACCGGTCTCAGCCGTAAGTACAATTTCTTGAGTCTACTATGCACAAGAATATAATAATGCAATATCATCAAAGTGTATGGAGTTTGCAGCAACCTTGTACCTTTGTGCCTGTAAAAAAAAATAAAAAAACTGTGTCAAGAGGACAGTTTTTCCATTGACACTACTATTATTTTAACTACCTTCTATCCTTGGCAATGTTTATTGCTTTAAAAAGTGATTAAAATTGTAATCAAACCTAAAGATATGATGGAAGTGAATTTATACATTTTCTTTGTTCTTTAGAATTGACAACAAAAATATTAAACACCATTAGATAGTTTATTTACAAAAATAATTTTATAATTGCAACATTCTAAAAACTTATACAATTAAAACTAATGCAATGCAATATCTATCATTTACCAATTTGTAAAGAAATAAATAAAAAATTTTTATTCATAAATTTATAAACATTTACTAAATTATGAACATATGTGAACCAACTATTAGGTAATCTTTATTATTTTACCATTTTGTAAAGTTTGAATCAATTGGCAATTAGCCAACATTTTACCAAACATTCCAATAAACAATCTAATAAATAATATTTATTAATTTTGTTGTCAATTCTCAAGAACAAAAAAAATGTATAAATTCATTTTCATATGTTTAGGTTTTATTACAATTCTAATAATTGCTTTTTAAAAGAATAAACATTGCTGAGAAGTAAAGGTAGTTAAAATAATAATTGTGTCAAGGGGAAAAAAAAACATCTTTTTGACACTCCATCTCTTTTTTTTTTTTTTTTTTTTTTGGCAGACATGAAGGCTAGTTTGACAAGTTGTCTTTCTCACTGCACTGCTGAAAGTGAATGTACCCTGCCATTTTGAATATTTTAAGAAATGATTGCATGGCTTTCATGTATCTTGGTAACCAATCAATGGAGACCTTACTGCATATGTATGAACACACTCTCATGAAATTACTCAGCAGTTAGGGACTATTGACTCAGCTTATGTGCTATATGATCATCACACATTTTGTGCTTACCCATTCTTCGCATCATGTACAAGGATTTTTGGCAAAGTATTTCATTATCCAGGAACATTAGCCAACACCTTCCATCCACATGCCCAAAAGCTAAATTTGTCATTGACAAGATTAAGCTGATGGTAGTCTTCAAAGTGTAATATGCATACTGTTTTGAAAAGTGGAAAGAAAGCTGGGATAGGTTTGTGAGGCCTCAAAGGGACTAAGGTGCCACTTCCCTCAGTAGGCTAGTTTTCTATTAATATTAAGTGGCTGGATACTGTGAACATATTTCTGTTACAGTAAAATTACAATGAATTTATTCTTTTTTGAGAACTTCCTCTCTTCTAATGGTTAATAACTTCCAGGTATGTTTTTTTTACTCATTTTGAATATTTTTTATTTATTTTCTGTTCTCGTGAGGCCCCATTGCCTAACTATTTGCTCAGGCCAAACCCCAGCTGATCTCTCTGTCAAAAATGAAGAAAGCTTAATAAATCTTTTAATATTTTTATCCTTTGTACATTTAAATATTGATTCCTAAAAAATATTTGCTATTTTTATAAGAATAAGCATAATTAAATATTAAGAGAAACACTTGAACAATCAGGGTTGCTTACTTTTAAATTTAACAAAAACGACAATAAATCAGTGCACAGCTTCATTAAAAGTTGTGAAGGACTAACTGAAATTTTTTTTTAGAGATATGTAACTACTAATTAACTGTATAACTCTAGAAAATCAATCTCAGTTGTAAAGTATAGGGTCTGACTTTGTGCATGGGCCTAAATCAGTCTTTTATATATGGCCTACAGTCAAATTACACTGAAAACACTAGTTCTTGTTTAATCACTGAGGCATTGTGCCTAGTCAGTACTTAGATGGAAGACTGCTTGAGAACACTAGATACTGTCAGCAACCTCCTACAATCCAAAATATATTTTGGCTTTAAATAATCCTCAAAGGGTTGATAAACTGTAAAAAAAAAAAAAAAGTCAATGTTTTCAATAAGAACTACTCATACCAAACCATGAAAAAGCCTTGTTATGAAACTTTTTTGTTTGAATTTAGAATTTGCTCATCTAATGCTTTCCTTAGTTTTTAAGTGATTTTTTTTTTTTTTTTTTTTTTTTTAATAATTTTATAAATTTGCATGTTCACACCAGATGCCTGGTGGGTGTTACTGGATAACAAATGATACCTCAGCACATTAATAATCTTACCAGTGCCAAGTGGTATGGAATTTTTTTTTTTTTTTAACTTTGAGAATTTTTCTTTTTTCTTCATTGACTCTTTTGTATTTCTGATTCCAGGAAGAAGTTGCTGATCCTAGAAGACATGTTGTCTTACGTCATAGGCAACCATCAATGTCTATTGAAGATGATGATGACAATACTTCCCCAGAGGAATCATCTAAGGAGGCTCAAGACAAGTGAGTTTTAAGATCCAAAATTGAAGCTTCCTTACATGTCTCTTTAGTTCAATAATAATAAAAATATATTCAACTGATTTGGTTTTTATCTGTACAATTAACACTTGTCACATGTAACAAATAATTATGCTTTTTAAAACTTTGAGTAAAAATATCCAAAGAAATCTAATAAGAAACAAAAGGAATAATATATAAACAACCTGATTTCACTTATTAATTCTATTGTTATGGTAGCACAAGTAATGTTTGATTGGTGTTGAGTTAGCAGAATATATCAGATGAAATCAGGCTTGATATATATAGTTTACTATAGAATTTATATTTAATGTACTTAAGCAGCAATTGTTCCTTATTAAAGAGTATAAACATTTTGTGTTTATTGTGTATGTCCATATTCCTTTCCAAATTAAGAATTATCCTTTGCAATAAAAGCAAATGTTGATGTACTAAAACTTTTATAATCGCTGTGTCCAAGCTTTCAACTCTCATGTCATCCTCAGAGCTGTGTAATTAGTGTATTATATGAAAAACAATAAGTCGTAAGAGATTTCCTGTGTTTTTAGATTTGTTCTATTAAATTTAAATATAACGTTGCACTAAATGTACTACTTATGACTAAAAAGTTTGGGAAATTTTGGGGACATTTATAAAAGTTTTGGAAATTTCATACATTAACAACTGATATTTTTATGGAGGATAATTTGTAATTTGGAAAGGAAGAGGAATAAGCTCAATAGACACTACAAAGAGTCTATACTCTTTAATAAGACATAGAATTTATAAGGATATTGTTCTAAATAACTGTCATGGTAATAGTTGAACTAAGAATTTCAAATAAGTTTGATCAAAATTTGATTTAATCTCAATAAAATAAATGGAGGTCCACTTTCAAATTTGGAAAGAGAACCGTTTACTGATAAAATTTTCAAAACTTTGCAGCAGTTTTAAAGGTAGCCCTACCATATATATATATATATATATATATATATATATATATATATATATATATATATATATATATATTTGAGTAGCAGCAAACTTTCTTTTAAACATCTTTCATTAAATATGGCAGACAAGAAAGATTTAATTAATATTTTTATTTAGTTTTTCCAGCACCTTTACAGTTTTCTGTTTTGTAGGGTGTGTGTGTGTGTGTGTGTGTGTGTGTGTATATATATATATATATATATACACACACACACAAAAAATATTTGCAAAAGGATTTTGTACAAATTCAATTATTCTGTTTATTTTTTTTTTTTTTTGTCTTTCAGAGAAGACAAAGAAATGAAAACCCTGGCAAAATTTCTAAACACGACCCTCCAGAATAATGCCAGCAAAGGTTATGACGATAAATCTGACGATGAATCTCGGGTGCTACCTGACTTTGACTCACTGCAGCAGCAACATGATCCAGCCATTGCTCCTCTACCTCAACTTCATGAAAGGGCAACAAAACCAACACCAAAAGCAGAAGAATCTAATATATACACATTTCCAAGTATGTATTTGTCCTCATCGTTTGCTAAATTAAGATGTGAATATCTCTATTCTTTTGTTATTTTTTATAAAATGCATGCATTTAAATCAGTAGTCATCATCATCATTATCATCATATTGAATTGGAGCTCCAGTTAACGTTCTAAAATATATGCATTAAAACCAATAGTGCTGTTAGATTGTTAGATATTTAACTTCTTCATACCTTGAGGAACTCCCAAACAGAAAATAAGGAGGTACTAAGTAACAAGAAGAGAGGACGCCAAATACTTTGTATCATGACAACAAAAGACACAACAAATAATAGGTTATTATTTACAAGGTGTCTGTACCCTTGTGGAGATTTCTCTACCTCTCTGCAGTGGGTTATGGTACCCGGTTAAGAGAGTGAAGTTCATCTTTTTATATTGACTTGAGACTTCTCAATATGGTGTCTGCTCCTTTCACTGCCAAACTCTCTCTGCCTCTAGGAGAGTCCAAAATGCAGGGGGTGGTTGTCATGCAACCCTTTGGAACAGAAATTTATGAGATCCCAAAATAGATCTCGTAGGGCAGTGCTGTTATGAAACAGGTTTGTAGAACTCAATGCCAAAAATAATTTTTTCCATGTAAAACACAAGACAAATCAAAGTAAAATTTAAGATACTATCATATGGATCCAAAGTTGGAATTAGTCCAATTTCTCCTTTATGTATTTTTAAATAGAAACTCATTTTACTAAACCATTAAAAAAAAACAAAATAAACTGAGTTCTCTCTCTCATATCTTATTGGTCAAAACAATTCAATACCAGCTCCAGTCAGATGAGATTTGCATGCATTCCTCCCCAGTGCTTTAATCATGATCACTGACCATCACTAAAATTGTCTGTAACACAAGTCATTTTGGAGCACTAAGAAATGTAGTTGATGAAAGGAGTTTCAGTTATGATGGCTTCCTTTTATGATACCTAAAGGATTCAGTTAAATTTCTGAACTGGGTTTATTAAAACCCTCTTCAGCCTTTATTTTTTTATTACTTCTTTACAAAAGTCTTAAGCATTCATTTTAGGATTCTTTTTTTTTTTTATTAGGCCCTGAAACTTTGGTGCAGACTAAACGGCTTTCAGACAGAATCAGTATTCTGGAAAAGTAAGTATTACTCTAAGAATATTTACTTAAAAGATGTAATTATTTTGATTGTAATTGGATTCATAGCTTCTATGTCTTTGTCATCATCATCCTTCAGGAAAAAAAAAAAAAATAATCCATTAAATTTTATAGTAACCTTTGCCTCTATTTTATTTTTTTTTAGTAATTTTTCTTTTGTCCATTTCTGTTTTGTTGCTTTTCCAACTACTTTTTTAATTTTATCTTCAGAAATTGTGAAGCTGGAATTGGGAAGGAAGTACTCAAACAAGCTATTGAAATTCTTGATAAATTTCAAGAGGAGGAAGTGGAGGTAAGTCTCTAAGTACAGTGGCTCAATTGCTCAGAATGAGATTCATTGACTTAGAATTACTCAGAAACTAGGTTAAATGTCTCAAAATGAGGTGCGGTGGCTCAAGCAGAATTACTCAGGGTTGGGTATGATGACTTGGAATAAAATAGCTCATTAGTTGGCTTTTCTCAACTCTAGTGATTGTCACTAGCCTTTCCTGATCTTCAGGCAATACATGTGTAATTCACTGATGCCTAATTCTTGGGGATCTGTTTCTCAGGCAGCACCTCCTTATTGCAATTCAAGCATAGGTGTCAAAACATACACCTTTATGTCTGTAGTAAAATATGTCGATGGAAATGGCTGTTGTCTCTAACTCACAAGTAAATGTGTGTTCTCCCACATTAAGAATCTGTTTTGTGCTCAGTAACATGGGGAAGAGGGTGTGACGACCCTGGGCATCCAGTCAAAGAGTGAAATAAAAGTTTACTTTTTGAAATTTGGAATCATCTCTATTAACTTCATTGTACAAGCATCCTACAATCCCACAAGCTGGTGTGAATGTGGATCTGTGTTTTCGTAAGCAAGACCAGAGTAGACCCTCCTCTTTGAGTCTTCGGGACATACAATCAAGGAGTTAGCCCCAGGTATCACCAAACCTCTGTATAATAGGGCTTGCAACTTGTTTGCATCATGTATTGATCTACAATTGTTGTAATACATTTTCATAAAGAATATTTTGTAAAAATCTTATTACCTAACAAGGTGTGATTATAACTAATTTTCAATGTAAAGTTTTGAATGATTAATGCTTTTGATAGAAGTATCAGAAAAAACTTGACCATTTTTACAATAATGATTGGTGATACATGACCATATATGAATATCTTTGCATTAAAGAGTTATACATAAATTTTAAACACCTTTTGAAATTTTGATGCTTCTGCAAAATAACCCAAACATTTTAATTAATTTTTAATACTGCTTTTTGGCAATTTGCTTGGTCTGATAGTTGTGAACCATTGAAATAGATAAAAGCTAGAGGAACTGTAACAGAGTATTATCAACAATTCTGATTGCTGCCACTGATCAATATATATGCTTAATGGCCACATTGTGATGTTGATGGTGTAACTTGGCATTGAATATATAAAAATGAAATATCATTCTGGAAAGGTACTTTGTTTCTTTTCTTCTAAATCATTTGTATTTAGTTCAGCTGATTGAATTTATATATCATGGCTTATTTGAGTCAGCAAAAAAAAAAGTCTTAAATTTAACTAAAATTATGGTGTGGTGTTGTACAGAAGGATATTTTACAGAAGTACTGAATTTCATTATGTTTGGATTCTAAATAACAGAAACTGATCTTCTAAATAAATCCAGTTTATATTAAAAATGTTTTACTTTGTTAGGTTACTGGTTCCCCAAACATGTAATCCTCTTTCTGTAAATAGATTTGCTTCTAGTGTTTTTTATTTTATTTTTTGTTAGTCAGCATAGATTTAAAAAGAGTAATCTTAAAGCTTCATTTAAGAAATTCAAGCAACTAGCTTTTTTTTTTTTTTTTTTTTTAATGGAGCCTATTTTAGGTGTGTTTTGATGTCATTTTTTGGTTCTTTTATTTTTTTTTTCCCATGAACCCATTTAACATCAAGTCACTTCCTATTATAGAATTTATAATTATTTGTAAGTGCTAACCATCATAATTGGGCATATTATTATCATGGTATACCGCAATGGCTGATGAAGTGATTTGCTGACAGATCAAATTAAACAGCTTTTTAATTAGCAGCTAATAGTACAGGAGTTATCTCTGTCAGACAAATGGAGTGTTTTTATTTTTTTTTATTTTTATACTTAATTGAAAATTATTTGGAAACAGAGACATGATTGAACTAGAAATTACTCTATTCTTTAAGTTAGCATAATATTGTTCAAATGCTCTAACAAAAATTATGCTATTGTGTTACTGTAATAAATATATAAATCAGATCATTATAAACTTTGTTATCAAATATATAGTGTGGTCTGGAGAGACCCTAAGTTATTTAGTGTATCTTTCCTAACAAGGAGCTTACTCTCAGATCTTAATAAAAGGTGGAGAGGGAATAAGTGATGTAGTGGGAGAATTTTTTTTTTTTTTTTTTTACTATTTTATCGGTTCTTCCTGTTTATGTAGATATAAGCAGTCATTGATCAAGTGGAAATATCTATTTACTTAATGCAAATCTCTAGACTAAACTCTTTCTTATTTATCCTTTCATTTTTCTTTTTCAGCCTCATCTGCAAAAATTGTTAGGTGAAGAGAAATTTGCTCAATATGCTGGCAAAATCTGGCAGTTGAAATTCTGTAAACAGATGTCTCACTGACAAGTAGATGATTCTATTAGGATCTGATGATGCCATCCAAATGATAACCCATACATAAAGGAATGATGCTACTGAACACTGCTATGACTTCAAAAATTATATACATTGGCATACAATTCGGGGAACTTTTTACATCCTTTTTTGTCATATACCGTTTCATATAAATCACTTTTCTTTTTTTTTTTTTTCTTTCTCATCAATCACTTTTTCATTCACATATTTTTTATTTTAAACATCCTCCAAGTTTCATTCATTTGAAGAAAATTATTATTTTGTGTTGAGTTTAAAGACTGTCTCATATTGTTGAAACAATTAAAATTTTTTGACAACATTAAAATCTTAGAAAACAAATGCATAAAACAGAATATTTCATGAGAACAATTTCACAAATTGCCAAAAAAAAGGAGAAAAAGAAAATCAATTTGACATTTTTTGGCATGAATGGTTCTAATTAGAATTTACCTTAATGAAGTTTTATGATTGATGCTTTGTTAAAAATTCATGTGTAATTTTATGATTTTGTTTTCTACAATTTGAAAATAATATTGTTGTAAAGAAATTTAAAATACTGTTTTGACAATTCCATTTTTATGAAACATTTATTTAAAAATGTTTTAATTTTTTTATTTTTCTAAATTATCTGGGATTTATTTTTTTTTTATTTTTATTTTTAAAGTTTCCTTTTGGGGAACCTGTTTTAAAAAATTTGTATAAAAAAATATCTAATTGTTTTCTCCTATTTTTTTGCGTGTGATATTTTTTATGCAGAGAAATAAATATAAATATATACATATATTTTTTTTTTTAATTTCTCACTGTACATTTGCCACAAGATAAATAAATTTTTAACTATCATTTTGGTTAATACTCAAATTATACCACATAGAAGTGTAATTTTGTAAGCTTTTGACATTTGATTTTTAAGCCACAGAAAATGTGTTTGGAAAACAAAAAGATAGACAAATTTAACACCTGAAATTTTATTAACTTTAATATAAACGAAAAAATTTTTTTTTTTTTTTTAGATATATTTTATCAGAATGATTTAAGATTTTTAAAGAGTTGTTCATGAATAATTGTCATATATTTCTTTTTCTGTCCTATTTGTTTGTTCTGTAGAATATTTCTCATTGATATTTTGCAATTCAATTGTCTTTTTTTTCTTTTTTTTTTATTCAAAGTGGTTGTCAAAGGTTTTGTGTAAAATCATTTCTGCAATATTGTATAATGTAAATATTGACAATCATTTTAAATGTTTAATTGAATGTATGTATTTAAAAAAAAAAATATCTCAAATAAATATCTATCCGGGGAAAACTCTGGTTTACTTTACAATGCAGTTATTATTGACAATTCAATAAATCAAATAATATATTTATTAGTGCAAAAGAGAAATATGCAAAATACACCAAATACAAATCTACTTCACTTTTAATGTAGAAGGGAAAATGGCTTACCTCCTGGAAAAAAAATGTGCTTGTATGTGTCTCACATGCAAAATATGTGAAAGAAAACATGGCTGATCCAAAGTTACGACTTAAGAACAACTTGAGCTCAGAGATTTTATAAGACAAATTTGTGGCTTATGCAAATATCTGAGCCTCAGCCACTCAATAAAATGAACATGAGTGAGAGAACATCAGACAGGTAGCAGAGGCTGACAAGTCTAGTGCTCGTGCTTTGTGTGTAGAGTTTCGTGGTAGTCTCTCCAATTGTGATTGAAAAGAAGACAGGTACTCCAAACAGCCATACCTTTTTTTTTTTTTTTTTTTTGCTACATTTAAAATCTTAATTGTTTGTATTGTAATCATCTTGAAAGTGGACCACATCCTTTGTCAAACCATAGAATTACAATTCTGTTACTCTTTCTGCTAATTGTTCTAGGTTGTTTGAACTTGGTGTACTAAGAAGTGTTTCTTGGTACACTTATTGAACTAGTAATCAAGTTGAATGAAAAATTTTGGATTTTTACTACATTGTTATAAAGGCTTTACAATTAAAACAGTTGTACATATTGACATTGATTTTTCTTTAAGTTGCGTCAGTAAAATTTAGTTTGTTTACACTTCTTAAATAATAAAAAAAAAGTAATGAGAAAAAAAACAGTATCTATTTAGCATGGCATTAAATTAAAACCAAAAATTTTTGTATATTTTTTTGTCTGTTAAAAATTATCTTAGTGATCTAATAGTGAATTTCTAAACATGGCTTAGATGTGGCACAAGGCCAAAAGTATGGGGCACCCAGTGAAGATCACTCACTACTCAGTTGTAACTTTCTAACCTTTACACCGCATCAGGGTGCCCAAATTGTAACGTTATGCATTTTTGGCAGAGGTGGGATCTTAAGTGATCTGGTATGTGGGTTATTATCAAGTTCTGGTACAAAAGTCAACTTTCATTATTAGTTAAAATTCTACATTATACTTATACCTGACATTATAGTCTACTCTTCTATGCCTAAGGTTCCAGTACAATCACCGAAGTTAAGCATTGTTGAGCTTGGTCAGTACCTTGACGAGTCACCACTTGGAATACCATGTGCTGTAAGCTTGAATGTGTGGATGGTGTAATGGATAATAGCTTGGAATTGTTAACTGGAGAGCAGAGTTCTAATTCCTATTGGGTTAGTTATATTCATTTACTTGCAAAATACCCTTGGCAAATGTATGAATCCACCTTTTTTCTCCCCAGATATGGGTTAATTAGTAAGACTTGTATCACCAAACCATTATTATCTCAAAAAAAAAAATCTTTAAAATCTAAAAATATTTTCTGGCTTTATATAATCTGCAAACGGTTGAGAAGTTGTAGAAAACAAATCAATCAATCAATGAAATACTGATAAACTACACAGTCATGTCTTTTAGATTTATTTACATACTCTAGACTATAAAATCTACTGTAGCCACAAAGACAGGGATCAGTTTATATATGCATTGCCATATAGAATTGATCCCCCCACTTTATATATACGTAATTTCTTGTTTATCAAATTCAAATTAGGTATGAATCCACCTCTTCTCCCCACCCCAGATATGGGAACCGTTATCATCCCCCCCCCCCAAATTCTTACAATTTAAAAAATATTTTCTGGCTTTATATAACCTGCAAAGGGTTGAGAAGCCATAGAAAATGAATCAATCAATTTTCTATGCCTCATTGGCAAACAATAATATCGAAGAGACTAGTTAACATTAATTATAAACAAACTCATAATTTCTAGGATGAGGGGGTCATTATTTACATTTGGACTATTGTCCTCATCTTTGTTGTTATCACCATTTTGGTCATTGTGCAAGTGTATGTTGATCTGGGTAACCTACAGGGATTTCTGAACTGAACCATTTATTTAATCTACAAGGGTAGACTGTTCCACTGCCCATGTCAATTTTGACATACACCTGAAGAAGACTGACAGGCACAGTGGACAAAACATTGTGATAGCAACAACATAAATGAGGACAATGGCCTACATGTAAATAGTGTAAATTCTAGATTTGCTAAATATCTGAAAGGGTACTGGAAAGAATTTTTGACCTAACAAAGAAGAGTATTTCAAGAAAAAAAAATCTAATGTTTGGTTATATTTTGAGAAGTGGGTCAGGCTGAGAACTTTTCAGTCACTGCTTGTAAGATGGAATTCATAAGGAAACTAATTTACCTTTGCTGTCAAAAAAGGAAACAATATATATATGTTTTATTATTAGCTATTGGCATGTGAATCTTTAAATATATTTCTTCCAATTATTGTTGTACTGTGCATTTTCATGGCGTGAAGTCTTGTTTTCATAAATACTTTCAGTTCTCCAATATCAATAACAAACATTTACCTCTTGACATCCGATACAAGGGAGATAATTTAAAAAATATTACTGTGTGTTATCAGTGCAATGGAGATAATTCTTGTATAACAATGTTAAAAACTAAAAAAAAAAAAAAAAAAAAAAAAACACTTGGTCTATTAGAAAATAATATTGTAAAAATGTAATATAATTAAATGACACCACACATTATTTCCTTTATCTGACATAGGTGGCAGATAAATTATTCAACATCTATAAATACCATTAAGTCAGAATGTCTGATATTAGCTGGCAATGAAGGCATAGAGTAACCTACCTAACAGGCTGTGTAAATGGATGGAGAAAAGATACTTTACCAAGGAGTGAAGGTAGTTAAAATAATAGCGGTATCAAGTGAAAAACAGTTCTTTTGACACAGTTGATTTTTTTTTTTTTTTTTTTTTTTGTGGGGGCATGAAGTTTAAAGATTACCCATTTCATGATAGAGGTTTGGTTTTAGCAGAATACTAAGCAATTAAGAGCAATTTTCAAGATTTGGCATATTTATCATACAATTAAAATGGTAAAGTTTAACATTTGTACCTTAAACATGGTGTATCAAAAGGATTTTTTTTCTCTTGATGCCACTATTACTGTATACTCCTTAGGCGACTATTATTGTTTTAAACACCTATTTTTAGAATTTTAATCAATCCTAATATATGTAACTGAATTTATGCATTTTCTTGTTTTTCTCTCGAAAATTAACAACAAAAGCATTTAACACTATTCTTCTAAATAAACAATCTAATAAAATGTTTAACGTTTTGTCAATTCTTGAGAAAAAAAAGTATAATTTCAGAAGAATTTGCCAATTATTTTAATGAATTTATGTGGCAAAAGTAAATGAAAAAAATGCCTGGGAAATGCATTTTTTTCAAAATTTATAATTACAGTTGCTAATGATCATTTAAATTCTCTTATTCTATAGTTCTCTTATTCTATAGTTCAGACAGTTTAATAAATTTACAAATAAGAAAAAATTGTTTTCATAGTTATTTCTTTATAATATGGTAAATAATAAATATTACATTGTAATTGGTTCGCATGCTTTTATAAACTTGTAAATGTAAAATTATTCTTGTAAATAAACTAAATAAATAATATATATATATATATATATATATAAAATAATA